GGCCCTCAAGAGCTACCGCGAGCTTGCTACAGTCTTCCGCACTGTCAAGGCTCTGGCAGGGCCCCCGGTGAAGGCCGCCAAATGTTCTGCCATTTCTCTCGCTGGTGAGTTGGGCGCCCCGCTGGAAGCGCGAATCCGATCTCTTCTTGTTTGTGCTGGTCCGAGCTGGACGGGGTTTAACTACGGTGGCCCCAGTCGTTTTCTATCTCGGATGCTGGATAATTAGAGGCGCCGGCGACAGCAAGGATTGGGGGTGGCGCTGGCCAAGCCTGCCCAGAGGACACGCAGCATTGCCGACTGCCGCCAGCATCTGAGCACGGGTGTCCCCCTGTAAATTCCCAGGGCTTTGCATGTGACATAACATGTTGCCCAGGTCGATCCCCTTCTCCAGAAGCCGGCCGGCATCGAGCGCGCGTTGCTTGCCCAGATCTTGAAGACGCCGGTTTCAGCCCTGCGCCATAGTGGTTGATCGGTTCAACTTCGGGTGTTTTGCTGGTCCTCGTGTGCGTTCTCTTTTTGTTACCTCGGCTGCCGCCCAGAGTGCTTTCGAGAGCGCCATCCAGTCGAGATGCAGCATGCAGTACTGGGTCTTTCCCTTCCGCGCCACGCCGTTTTGGTGTTCCTGGCCGATCGTGTTAAATTTGTGTGACGCCGTCAGTGGTTTCCCTGAGGGCCCCCTCATGGGGGCCGGGGGGGGGCGGTGCAGGCGTTTCGGGCAGGGTCTCAGGACAGGAAGCCCGAGTGGCAGAGGCACTTCGCAGCCGCCCTTCAAGGGCACATCTTTGCCCTTCGCTGGTGCCCTTGTGCGAGAGGCGCATCCGAAAGTGCTTCGTTCCGAAGAGGTCGATGCCGTTCAGTGGGTGGAGGTCCAGGGAGGCCCTTGTTCTAGTCCCGACCAGTTGGCCTGGTGTGTGTGTGTGTGTGTGTGTGAGTTCGCACCTGGACAGGAGCCTTGGTCACTGGACATCCAATGAAACGCTTCCCAGATTGTGTGTCTTCGCATGCGAGGGAGATCCGTTCTGCCTCGCTCACGCATTATGCTTGTCATTGCTTGCGCTTGCGCTTGCGCCACCATGCTGCCATTCTCCTCCGCTCCGCCTTGGTGTCCGATGCATGGTTTCTTTTATCGTCGCGATGTACCATACCATTTCTTTTTGGATGGCCTCTCAGAGAGTGTGAGCTCTGGGTCGGCCATCTCGATATTCTGAGACTGCCGCCCTGAACCCCTGCTGCCCGTGTTGCCACCTGCCTTCCGCTGCGGCAGACGGCGGCAGAGGACGCTGTTGGAGGCATCCGCCCTTCGGCGGGTCGTTGTCGAGGCCCGTGCTGAGCCCCTGTGGGCCACCGATGGCAGACCAGGCACCAAACCTGTGCCTCGTTGTTCCCCAATCAGTGCTTGCACTGAAGGGGTCCTAGCGGATCTTGTAGGGCTTGGCGAAAGTGGGCGGCCGATTTCGGTGGGCCGCCGGGTTCCCAGGTTCCCAGTTCCGGGCCGATTTCGGTGGGCGGCGGGGTTCCCGGGTTTCCGGGCTCCTGGTCGATCTCCTTATCGATCGGTTTCACCATCGATCTCATTACCCACCTCTCTATCGATCTCACACTCGATTTCACTATAGATCGCACGAGTGATCTCACGATCGATCTCAATATCAATCTCACTGAATCGACTTCATTGTCGGTCTCGCGATCGACCTACTATCGATGTCATAATCGATCTCAGTATCCAGATCACGACTTTTCAAAGATCCACTGATTTGGGTTTGTCTCTGGTGTAAGTTTCCTCCCCCTCCCCCTTCATCCTCCTGCTCCCTCCTCCTGTGCCTCCTCCTCCTGCTCCTCCTCCTTCTCCTTCTCCTGCTCCTCCTCCGCCCCTTCCTCCTCCGCCCCCTTTCCTCCTCCTCTTCTCCTCCTCCTCGTCCTCCTCCTCCTTCTATTCCTCCTCCTTCTCGTTCTCCGCCGTTTATCCGTCTGTTCCTCTACTATATCCTCTCCTCTCTTCTCCTCTCCTCCTCCCTTCACAGCCAACACGTGAGAAGATTGAGGAGCACCTGCAGTTCAGAGTTGGGCTGGCAGATTCTGAATTGCGTCCCTCGGAGCCTGTTTGGGACCTTCGAGCGTCTTGGATTCACCACTCCTTCCTTATAATTTCCTGGTAGCACGACGTCGTCCGCATCGTGAGGGCCTTTTGGGGACTCCTGCAGGCCCCGGCGCGCCTCAAGAGCACCCGAAGCCCTCTGGAGCATTAGAGTTCTCCGCTCCCACCTCGCCCCCCCATGTTCCTTCTCAGGCCCAGGCGAGGATCCTCCTCCTCCTCCTCCTCCTCCTCCTCCTCCTCCTCCTCCTCCTCCTCCTCCTCCTCTGGGACCGTTCCGCCTCTCACGTTCTTCTTCGTTTCGTCCTGGGTGCCGAGCAGCGGTGGAAGCCCAGTGCCGGTGGCGCAGGCTGGCCGGCGTGTGCACGGGCCTGCCTTACCGCCATCTTGGGCGGGTGTGGAAAACTCAAAACCTGCAGGTTATCGTTGAGAGAGCCTCCTCCTCCTGGAGGAGCCGGAGGAGGAGGAGGAGGAGGAGGGGGAGGTGTCCTGAAAGACGAGGAGGGAGAAAGGAGACGAGGAGGAAAAGGAGAAGAGGAGGCTCCTCCTCCCCCTCCTCCTCCTCCTCCTCCTCCTCCTAGTCCTCATCCCCCTCTTTCTCCTCCTCCTCCTCCTCATCCCCCTCTTCCTCCTCCTCCTCCTCCTCCTCCTCCTCCTCCTTCACCGTAGTCATGTTGGCTCAAGCCGCATGCCGTTAGGTTGCAGCCCCACACGCGCTGCCCCTGCATGCCGATGGTTGCGATCTCTGCCGCTGGTTTTGTGGCTGCGTGTGACTCATTTAGTGGTAGTATATCAGCGCAGTCCCGTGCAACGCGCTGCGCGTCGCCTTCGTGCTGCAGAGAACGGTTCTCTGCAAGTTCCTCCGGTTGGGTGCTCCCATGTGGCGGCCCCGACCTCGGTGGCCTTGAACGCTCGCCAAGTCGTTCGCGGTCTGCAGTCACATCATGAACTGCAACAGGTTTCCGGCCGCCGGTACCACTCGCTGCGCGTGGCGACCCTCTCAGGAGGAGAAAAAACACACACAAACACAATTAATCGTCGACTCCCAGGAAAATATGGAAGAATATGGGAATTGGGGGGGAAGACAAAAACCCAGAAAATATGGGAAAATATAGGGAATCTGTTTATTTGTGTGTATTTATTTGTGTGTCCCAGGGCCCCTTCACTCTCGCCGCCAGGGGCCAGTTGAGCGAGAATGAGTTGCGAGACATGCTGCAGGCGAACACGCGGTACGGCAAGGCCAAGGACCGCATCCCTCTTCAAGCTGCTGGACCTGGCCAGAGTTCTTCGTCGCCTCCTCGAGTGGCGCTCTGCTTGTCGGACCTTCTGCCCGCACCGACGCCTGACACCTCGACCGCAGTGTCGCACATGCTCTCTGGCCTTCTCGCTCGGCATGCGGTCGCTGTTCGTCCCACTTCTGCAGCCCGCGATCTTCCCGATCGCTACGTGTCAGGACTCTGTCACTCCGCAGGCGGCGTCTTTCATTGATGAGCTGCAGGTGGATAAATCTTCGTCTTCTCCCCCATACCTTCTCGCAAACCGGCGTGTGCGCTCCTTCCTCGTGGCCGAGAGCGCGTGCTTCTTCAGAGCTTGCTGCTGGGGCGTGGGACGAACCTTTCGACTGGGACATCGAGTTCGAATTCGAGCTGCGGCAGTTTGAACAGCGCGGCGGGCTGGGCGCTGCATCTCGTGCTGCAGACGGCTTTCCTCGGTCCCCCCTGCATGATGATGATGCAGGTGCAAAGGTATTTGATGGCCACGAGGGCGGGCATCCCGAAGCCCGCCGGGAAGCTGACGACGGTTCGCGTGGAGATGTCCATGATGCCGTTGGCGGCGACCGTGATGCCCCTCCTCGCGCCGCGTCGGGGGTGGTCGCGCCGTATCGCCCACTGTGCGCGACTACTATTGTATGAAGATTCTCCAAGTGGGGCCGAGAGTCTCCACGCGCCCGGCATGCCGATGCCACCCACGTTGCGCATCCCAGCGACGGCTGCATGCACCCCCACCTGACAGGGCTGACAGACAATGCAACTGCTACTGAACACGCTCGCCCTGGCCACCTCCTTCCAGAGTGTGTCGAGGCCCAGCCTTCGACGGCATCGCTCTGGCGAGTTCGGGTTGACAGTCGCACTGCCCTTGAAATATATGCTTTGGCCAGTCTTGCTGCCGATTCCGCGCTTGACGAGCTGCTTGCGACCTGCAACTGGTTCTCCGCCGCTGGCTGGACGCAATCGTCAACACGTTCTTGAAGCTCGCGATGATTCTCATCCTGCTGGTGGTCAGCGAGAGCACGCTCCTCCTCCTCCTCCTCCTCCTCCTCCTCCTCCTCCCCCTCCCCCTCCCTCCTCCCTCCTCCCCCTCCTCCTCCTCCTCCTCCTCCTCCTCCTCCTCCTCCTCCTCCTCCTCCTCTCGTTGAAGATGCTGCCACCAACAGTGATGTACCTGCTCCTGCTGTTCTCCGACGGCTGGGTCGCAAATCCGATGCTGCCGCTGATCGTGCTTCGAGTGTTCGCCCAGGTGTTGGCACTGGCCTGAGGCAGGGAACCACACGATGCGACAACGCGAACAAGATCGACTCTCTCACCGTGGCTCTTTCCGGTGTCCGCGCTGCTCGTGGCGCTCTCCATGCACAAGATGCCCCTGACCGATCCGAGCTGGACGCTGGACAGGACTCTCTCCAGCCTGCCGCTGACCCTGGCGTTCGCCACGCTGTCGCTGCACGTCGCGACTTCCAACGCTGCTACGACCACGTCAACCGCCTCAGAGGTGCGGGGAGTCAGCCACCCGCCGCTGGGCACAACGGCCTCTCGGGTGCTCGGTCGTGCCGCCGCTGGCTCTCGTCGTGTTGGAGCCGCCGAGATTGCTGACGGTGATGCTGCACCTGCTCCTGCTGCTCGCGATGCCCGTCGGGCTGCTGCCACGGAGGGTGGCCAACAGCAGCTCGGCATCGATCACGCGGATGCTGCCGACGGTGCCGAACCCGTTCGGGACATGGCAAGACAGGGTGACGATGACGAAGACCCGCTCTGCCTGTCGCCACTTGTTAAAGCTGCTGCTGCCCGTGAGGGTCCTCAGGGTTGTGAGGACGATGCTGCTGACAATGGTGCTGCACCTGGTCGCGATGCCCGTCCAGTCCTGATACCCGCTGGTGGCCCTCCACCTGCAGCGCAGCGTGTGCATGATGACGAAGTTGAGGTGCACCTTCATGGGCCCGTAGTGCCTGGCGCCTGCTTCTTTCGACATCACGACCTGCTGCAGCTTCGTTCCTGCAACGAGGCTCTCTTGCTTCGTTCCTGCAGCGAGGCTCTCTTCGCTCACGTCGACTGCCTTGCAGTGTGCGGCGTCGTGGTCGCCAACTCCTTCGATTCGGCGGCGGCTCACCCCGCAATCGCCTCTGCTGCTCCCCCGGGCGCGGAGATTGACACAGACTCTCCGAACTCCATGTTCGATGGGGCGTCCACCGACGTCGACTCGCTCGTGATCGCCGACTCCAGCTCCGCCCTCGCCGGCGGCGCCGTGCCCCTGGGTGCCTCGGAGGGCGCGCGGCGAGCCGCCGAGGCGCGGAAGAAGGAGTCTGCCCCCAGGGACGCGTGCTCCTCCTCCTCCTTCTCCTCCTCCTCCTCCTCCTCCTCCTCCTCCTCCTCCTCGCCTGCCTTCTCCCTCATCCTGTCGGCCCGGGCGGCAGCCCGACGGTTCCCCACCCTCCCCTCTTGGGAGGGGCCTGCGAGCTCTAGTGCTGCGCGCTACCGCGCCCGCGATTGCAGACGAAGCCCGGTTCCAGGAGGGAAGGGAGGAGGAGCAGGAGGAGGAGGGAGGGGAGGAGAGAACAGGCGGAGGCCCAGAAGGCGGAAGAGACACGTGTGTGGAGAGGGGATCTGAGCCGTTGGGCCCCCCGCTGAGCGCTCGCAGGCCCCTCCTGCTCCGTCCCTCCTTCCCCCCCTCCCTCTTGACTCGCATCGCGACTGGTCTCACACACTCGCTCACTTATTCTTCCTCCTGCCCCGCCCGGCCCAGCTGTCTCTGCACTTGCGCCCCAGCAGTCCCGAGTACCCCCCCCCGCGCCCGCTTCAAGTCGTCGTCGTAGTCGTCGACCGCGACCTCCTCCTCCTCCTCCTCCTCCTCCTCCTCCTCCTCTTCCTCCTCCTGCTGCTGCGCACGCTCTGGAACGACTTGTCCCACAGTGCCCACCGCCGCGGCGCCCGCGGCCCATCTGGAGAGAGTCGAGGTGGCAGCATCCTCCCACGACCCCCCACCTCTCTCCTGTTCTCTAGAAGCAGCCCTCCTTCTCCGTGGTTCAGTGATGCAGACTGTTCTGACCATGGAGAGCTGAGCCATCCTCCTCCTCCTCCTCCTCCTCCTCCTCCTCCTCCTCTTCCGTTTCCTCCTCTTCCTCCTCCGTCTTCTCTTCCTCCTCCCCTTTCTTCCTCCTCCCCCTTCCACAGCTACACGATGTGAATGCTGCTGTCCCCTCTCACACGACACAGTGTTGTGCCGGGGGCGGATCCCTCCCGCGTGGTGCCTGTCACACGCAGGAGTCCAACTGTTGCCCCATGTGTTTGTTCAATCGGACCAATTCCAGTCCTTCGACAGTTGTCACCGTTGCAGCTTTTCACGAGAACTTGAATTGCGAGCACGCCTCCGTCCAACGGGGTGACGCGTTGGCCGCAGTGTTGGTCGCCGTCGTATATGTCATCCACCCGTTATTCGTCCTGCAGTTCGTCTTCCTCTTCTTGTTCCCCTCTGCTCCTGATCACTCCTCGTCGTCATCGCCGTGATGCCTGGCCATTCATGTCGGTCGTCGCCGTTCGTACGGATGATTATTTTTGAAACCATCCAGGTGCTTCGCAGTGTCTATGATCCGACAGTCAGTGAACTTACGGCTTTCGCTTGCCATGAGAAGTTGCACGCAGACGTTGTTCCGTTGCCAGGTGGGTTCTTGGCTTGAGCGCCTTTAAGCACGAAGGTTACATGTGTTTGCGATGCTGTGATATTCTGCTGAATGCGGTGGTATGCAATGTTGTTCCTTGTAGTGCCATGATGTGAATTGCTGTGCTATCTAGTATTTCGTCGATGCAATACCATACAATGCGTGCTATGCAGCGCTACGTTCTGTAGCAGCAGTATCTCGAGTGGCACGCCCTGCCATACGCCGACACTTGCTGCCCTGGTATGCCACGCTATGCTATGCTGCGATAGGGGGTGTTACGCAACATTGCCGCCATGCCATGGTAAGATGTTGCACTGGAATCTCCTCCGCGTGAGCCTATCATGGCGCTACGCCTTCTGCGTGCAGACATTCTGGAAATTTGCCCTGGTCGGTGTCGCGGCGAGTTGTTTGCGAAGGACGTGCGCGGGTGCCGTGCAGCTTCCATTGCGCCCGCAGCGGGCGTGCTCTCCTTCCTCCCTTCCCTTCCTGACCGTGGTTTTTGTTATCCTCAGCCTGAGCTCCCTCCCCGTCCCAGCCGTTGAGGTCCTCCACGCGTTTCACCTTTTGTTTCCTCCTTCCTCGCCGTCGTCTCCAATCCGACCTCTTCCCTCCCGTCCTCGCTCGCGGTCTCTCTTGCTCCTCCCTGCCTCCTACATGCCGCTCCCGCCCCCCCGCCGCTTCCGTCATGCCTTTCCCAGTACTGGGCGCCCAACGCCTTCTTCGACAGAGTTGCTTTTTCGCGATCCGTGTCTTTCTTCGACACTGACCCTGCGAGTAGATGCCCGACGGAATGGTAAGGCTTGGGCGGGAGAGGTAGGTCCAACGCGTTGGCATAAGGACCGCTTTGGGCTCAGGCGGGCTTCGATGTTCTGGGCCACGTCCTACAGTTTGAGGTAGGGGAGCGTACCGTATTCGTGGCCGAGGTTCGCCATGACAAGCAAAAAGGCTGTCGCTCCTTGCTCGGCGTTCTTCGTGAATCTCTGCTTGCAGGATGCCAGATGCGGCGCGAGCTCGCCTATCTTGCACCCTCTCGTTGTCCTCATCCTCCTTGTCCTCATCCTCCTCCTTCTCCTACTCCATCCTCCTCCTCCTCCTACTCCTCCTCCTCCTCCTCCTTGTCCTCATCCTCCTCCTCCTCCTCCTCCTCCTCCTGAGGTCCCCCCCATCTCGTTGTCCTCATCCTCCTCCTGCTCCCCCGCACCCTCGTCCTCCGCCTTCCCCCTCGGAGGCCTTCGGAGGGCGGGGGCCCCCGAAGGGGCCTCCGGATGCTCCGGGAACGCAGCCGACGCGCCAGAGAGCGCTCCACGACCTCCCCCCCCCATTCGTCTGCTTCCTCCCGGACCCCCGACGGTGCCCCCCCCCCCGCCCCCCGCTCGACCACAAAGGAGTCACAAACATTCTGAACTGCCAGAAAGGAGTCTGGACCCCTTCCCTGGGACTGGCTTTTCCTCCCGAGCCGCTTCTTCAGGATCGGGGGTCCCAGAAAAGGACCCCACGAAGCCGAACATGACCATCAACCGTCCGTCCTGATCCTTTCTACGCCGCGAGTAAGGCTGGGTTCCCCTCGTCTTGTAGTCCTCGTTTTCCTCCTCGTCGTCTTGCTCGTCTCTCTCGTCTTCCTCGTCCTCCTGCTCGGCTCCGGTCCCTGCTGTGCCACTCCCGCGTCTGAGCCACCCTCTTTTTTGGGCCATCGGCTCGCCGACGCCAGGCGCACTCGAGCATGATGGCGCTGTCGCGCCACGGCCGTGGGGTCTTCATCAGTGCGCTCGAGGACCGCGGTCCTTGTCGCCGTCCCGGGTGCTCCCAGTTTTCCTTCTCATTCTCGCGGCGGCGCGCCACGGGGGGAAGGCAGAGGGGGCGGACCTCCTCAGAAGGTTCAGAAGGCACCTGGCCTCCAGGGAAGCGTGCTAAGCCCTCCTCGGCGGCGAAGAGAATCTCCTCGGAAAGCCAGAGGGTTTCTGTGGAGCGCCGCTGATTATTGTGCTCCGCGTCGCCGTCCTCGTCGCCCTCCCCCTCCTCCCCCTCCTCCCCCTCCTCCTCCTCCTCCTCCTCCTCCTCCTCCTCCTCCTCCTCCTCCTGCTCTTCCTCGTCGTCGTCGTTATCGTCGGGAAGTGGGGGGGGGGGCGCGAGGGCGACGGCGAGCGCGGCGGGGACGACCGACGAGGGCGAGGGCGACGGCGACGAGCACGAGGAGGGCACGCCCCTCCCCTGCGCCGAGCCGAGCGGGGCACCCGCCTCGAGGCCGCGGCCCCGGCCGGCCGCCGCGCCCCCGCGCCGACACTCGGCCGCCGTCCCCGCGCCGACGGCGACGGCCTCGCGCCGCGCGCGGGGGGTATGGGCGGGAGGGGCCGCGGACGGGCTGCCGGCGGCGCAGGCTCATACGGTGTGGCGAGGGCGCTCTCCTCCTGCGATTTCGCCCCGCCGCCCTCCCTCGCTCCCGCTCGCGGAGGGGAGGGAGCGCAGGAGAGAGCGCGCGAGAGTCGCGAGCTCCGGCGCCGCCGCTCCGCAGCATCGCTGTTTGCCCCCCGGCCCTGGAAGGTGACCCTTCTGCATATGGGGAACGAAAAGTGGCATAAACCTAAAAACTCGGAGGTCCGCGCGGATGTCTCGGATCGGAGCGCGCCAGGGGCAGCGCCGGAGGCGCCGCCGGGGGGCCCCAGCGCTGATTCGAGGAATCCGCGCGGACCTCCGAGTTTTTATGTTTATGTAACTTTTTGTTCCCCTACCACTGCAGGCGGAGGAGGAGGAGGAGGAGGAGGAGGAGGAGGAGGAGGAGGAGGAGGAGGAGGAGGAGGAGGCGCGCTCTGGCCCGAACTCCGGGGCGGCCCCGGCCGTGGCCGCGAGGACCTGGGACAGCGCACCAGAGTATTTCGGGCCCGTTCTCTGTCGGATCCGGCAGCGTACTGGCCCGAGCCAGCAGGTGGTCGACGTCATCTGCTGTAATGCATTATTGACTGCCTCACTTCCCAGCGAGGGCCTTCGACGACGGCGACGGCGACGGCGGCGGCGGCGACGACGACGGCGGCGACGACGACGGCGACCAGCGACGGCGGCGGCGGCGAAGCGCCGAGGAACAGGCGGCGACGCGCCCGTTCGCACTCAGCGGCGCCGCCGCATTCGGGCCCCTGCTGTCGGCCTCCTGGGACGCCTCAGGCGGCCGGGCCCGCCGTTTCGTTGTCGTCGTTCGGCGTCCGTTGTCGTCCGTCGTCGTCCGTCGTCGTTATCATCCGTCGTCACTGTTCGCCGTTGTCGTCGTCGTCGTCGTCGTCCATTGTCCACTGTCCATTGTCCATTGTCCGTTGTCCTTTGTCCGTTGCCCGTTGTCCGCCGTCGTTCGTCGTCGTCGTCGTCGTCGTCGTCGTCGTCGTCGTCGTCGTCGTCGTCGTCGTCGTCATCGGTTGTCCGTTGTCCATTGTCCGTCGTCGTCGTCCCTCGTCTGTCATTGTCGTCCGTCGTCCGTCGTCCGAAATTCGTCGCCGTCGTCCGTTGTCCTTTGTCGCTCGTCCGTCGTCTGAAGTCCGTCGTCCGTCGTCGTTTGTCTTACGTCATTTGTCGTCGTCGTCGTTCGTCATGTTCACAGTCGTCTTTCGTCGCTGTCCTTCGTCCGCCGCTTTTTGTTTCGCCGTCGTCGTCGCCGGCGTTACCGATCCCAAAAATCGAGTGTCGGGTAGTTCGCCCTCTTTGGGCCTCCTGACGGGCTCCTCTGATTATGCTTGTGACCTGAAGCGGACGGGCCATCGTCTTCGTTCTCGTCGGCGTCCGTCGTCATCGTCGATTGTCCGTTGTCGTCCGTCGTCCGCGGTCCGTCGTCCGTCGTCCGCCGTCTGTCGCGGTCGTCGTCCGCCGTCGTCGTCGCGGTCGTCGTCGTCGTCGTCGTCGTCGTCGTCGTCGTCGTCGTCGTCGTCGTCGTGGTCGTCGTCGTCGTCAACGTCCGTTGTCGTCGTCGTCGCCGCCGCTGCCGTCGTCGTCGTCGTCGTCGTCGTCGTCGTCGTCGTCGTCGTCGTCGGCGCGTCGCCTTTTTCGGGCTTCCTTGGGCCTCCCGGCGGGCCTTCGTGGCCGAGGCAGGGTACAGTGAGCGGCTTGAATAAGAAACGCTTACTTTTCAAAAGGGGCTCGGTCGTTCCTTAGGCTTGCATGCGTTATCTATCGTTCCCCATGCGTTATGTATTACTTGCTCATCGTTCCCCAGGCGTTATTCCTTGGAAGAAAGGGGCTTCGTTCCTTATTTATCGTTCCTTAGGTCAGGCCGATGACTGTACAGCCGGAAAATCTGATCAGGACGGCGCCCAGGAGTGGCCCACTCATCGGCTGCGAGCCAGAGCGAGAGGCCCGTCGTCGCATTCGCCGCCGCCGCTGCCGCTCTCGTCCCCGATCGAGGGGCGAGGTCCTTCTCTTCCCAGGCCCCCGACGGCGTGCTTCTTCAGGACGTGGGCCCCCGAGGGTCTCGACACGTATTCCCAATGGGCCAGCTTCTCGTCCCGAGCTGTTTCTGTTGGCAGTCCTGGGGCCCGCCCATGGCGCCCAGGGGCCCAGAGCGACAAAAGACCTCGGTCTTGATGGTTCCAAGACGCTGGATGCGTGGAGTTAAGTCGGGCATGTCCCATTACAGGAGGAATGTGCAAAAATTGCCAAAACATTGTCAGGGTATGATTTTTCTGTTATTTTTGACTATGGTTGAGCATTTGTTGGGGTATCTTTCCTATTTCTCCTCCAAGATCCGCCTGTAGGGGGGCATGCCCGACCCATAAGCGTGGGGTCGTCGTCGATCGAGGGTCGAGGTCCTTCCTCTTCCGGGCCCCGGGGAGGGCACCCGGTCTTCCAGGTGCCGACTGGGAGGGGCCAGGCAGGCCCAGGGGCAGGACACAGTCGAGACTGATTACAGTCTTCGACCTGACCGAAGGAACGATAAATGAGGAACGAAGCTTTATGTCTCCAAGTAAGTCTACGAAGTCCGAAGGAACACCAGGGGGGCTCGCCGCCAGAATGGTAGGGGAACGCATGCAAGCCAAAGGAGCGACCGAGCCCCTTCTGAAAAGCACATGCTCCTTTTTCAAGCCGGATCCTGTATATAGGTCGACCCTGCCAAGTCGAGGGTACCCTTGCATCCTGAGCTTCGCGACCCATGCCTTCTTACCTTCCTGTGGCAATGTGGCCCTCGGACGGGTCTTGTGTCCTCTCGCGTGTCCTCTCCAGTCACGCCCCGACTCTGCACCGCTCCAGAGCGTCCTGGAACTCTCTGGAACGGCCGCGGCGCCCGAGACATCCCCCAGAGCTGCCGGATCTCAGAGGTCCCCGAAATTTTCCCGACACGATTCTGCCACGTTGCTGGCATCGTCCTGCCCCAGTGGCCGAACGCGGCGCATCCCTCTGGGCCTTTTCAAGACGTTGGGGGTCTGCGGTCGAGATCCTGTGTCATTGAAGGGGCCCAAGGACACACAAATAAATACACACAAATCAAAATATTCCCTATATTTTCCCATATTTTCAGGGTTACTGTCTTCCCCCCCACTTCCTATATTTTCCCATATTTTCTGGGGAATCGAAGATTAATTGTGTCTGTGTGTTTCTTTTCCTCCTGAGTCTTTCGGCCTGGGGAGCGCACCTGGTCGACTTGAGAAGCCGGGGTCGACTGCGCGCTTGAGCTGCCCGCGCACGGTCGCGCGTGCGCGCCCCCGTTTCCAATGCGGCGCTCCGCTCCGGCGGCCCGCGGCGTAAGGCCGCCCTGCCATCTCCCGGGAGGAGGAGGAGGAGGAGGAGGAGGAGGAGGAGGAGGAGGAGGAGGAGGAGGAGGAGGGGGAGGAGGAGGAGGAAGAGGAGGAGGAGAAAGAGGAGGAGGAGGAGGAGGAGGAGGAGGAGGAGGAGGGCTCCTCCCCCCTTGGGCGAGCTCCTCATCCTGCGCCGTGCTCTGACAGCCCCACGGCCGGGGGAGGGCCCCGGGACCCCGCAGGAGCAGGAAACCTCAGGACGCGATTCCCTCGGGACCCGTGTCCCCCATGGTGACTGCTGTCGGCCAGGCCTCCTGGCCGACGACGACGACGACGACGACGACGACGACGACGACGACGGCGACGGTGCCCACGACGGCGACGGCGTCGGCGACGGCGACGACGGACGGCGGACGACGGCTCCCTCCTCGGGCCGGCGCCGCTCACCAGGAGCGGCGCCCGCTCGGTGAGGAGGGCGCCGCCCCGACCATTGGCATCATTCAATGATCATTGTCATCATTGAAGGATCATTGAATGATCATCGTCATCACCATAATGACAATGACCATCGTCATCATTCAATGATCATTATCGTTGTTACCGTGATCGCGTCGGCCAGGCCTCCTGCTCACCGTCGCCTCCGGCACGGTCCTCGAGTGCCCCGGCCAGGCCCCGTCCGAGGGCCACTGGGCGTGCGCGCCCGTCCACGGCGCCCCGCCGCCGAGGGAAGAGCGCTCTGAGCAGAGATGACGACGAGCGACGACGACGACGACGACCAGCGGCGACCATGCCCTCAGATGAGAAGGCATCGACCCAGACACGGCCACGTCGCAGCAGAAGAACACGGCGGGAGGTTCTGTTTGCCGTCTTCGGGCTCTGGGGGGCCCTCGCCGGGCCCTGGGACCGTCACAAAGCGGCGCGGGATGAAAAGGCGGCCACGGGAAAAGAGTCAGTACTTCCTCTTAGTTTTTTACAGAAAAATCAGGGCATCTCATGTCTCGGGATACCGCTACCCTTGACTCGTTTTGGCATCGTCGCCACGGGTGGACTCACATCGACCTTCTTGTCAGCACACACCTTGGGAGAGGTCCAGGGAGCAGTGGTATTGTTAGCCTGTGGTTCCAAGATAAGCCCGACGAGGCCTTTCAGAAGAGGAGGGGAATCCAGGGATACTCGCACCCCATCTCGAGGACGGACGTCTCCCCGTCGCATATCTCCGACTTCGGCCCGCATCTGTGGCCCACTCGAGCAGTCCACAAAGTCTGGGAATATCGGGGGTGGACAGAACCCCCAACAGTGACACGTCGATTAGTGAATCGTCCGTTTTCGGTTCTCGAGAGGGCGCCGTGGCCGTCATTTTCCAGGCTTGCGCCCGCCAGGTTTGGGCCTCAGGTCGCTTTCACTGAACCACGCTTTACGAAAGGGGGGCCTGTCCATCCCCGAGAACAGCGTCGCCATGCCCCTGTGAGGCGGACGCTCGGCGCAGATATCGGCCTGGACTCCGCGGCTGGCCCTCCAGGCGTCCGTGTTGAGAACAAGTCAGGAGGGAAAAAAACACACAGACACAATTAATCGTCGATTCCCAGGAAAATATGGGAAAATATGGGAAGTGGGGGGGAAGACAAAAACCCAGAAAATATTGGAAAATATGGGGAATCTTTTTGTTTGTGTGTATTTATTTGTGTGTCCTAATTTCCCTTTAACAAGGCGAGGCGGGGGCTCTCCGTCCTTTCGGCCTGCGGGGGGCCGTCGCGACGGCCTCCCGGGCAGTCAAGAACCGGCTCGGGGCGAGATGCTGGCCCCATGGTGGGCAGGGTCGAGGCTCCCGGGCGCTCCGTGTCGACATATCGGTCCAGGCCCCCTTTTCTGAAGTCGGGCCTGTCCCCCTACAGTGGGATCTTCGACGAAAAATCTATAAGATACCCCAATCCCAAACAAGTCAACAAAAGTACTCATCAGATAGTCCCCAGACTAGTTTGGATTCTTTTTTATTCGTTGTGGGGTATTTTTTTATTTTTCGTTGAAAATCCCCCTGTAGGGGGACAGGCCCGACTTAACCCTTCTCAGACGGGGCTAGGGCGAGGACTAATCCGCTCCAGAGCGTCCCGGAGCGCTCTCGGAGCGTTCCGGAACGCTCTGAGAAGACCGCGGCCGCCCGAGACATCCTCCAGAGCTGCCGGAGCGCAGAGGTTCTCGACTCATCTCCCCCGATGGTGTCCTTGTCCTGGCTTCGCCGCAGTATCGAGAGATCGGTCCGGGGCCCCTCTCGTCGGCCCCTCCCCCGGTGCTCCGAGGCCGGGACTGGTGTGCACCTCCGCCGCGCCGAGGGCCCGTCTGCCAGGGCCTGGAGGGGCGGAGGGTGCACGGCCAGGAGCGTGGGGGGGAGAAGAAGGAAGGCAAGCACTGGACTGAGGTCGGGCATGTCTCTCTCTACAGGAGGAGTGTGCAGAAAGAGTCGAAGAATAGTCTGGGGACGATTTTTGCATGTTTTCCTGACTGTGTTTGAACATTTTTGGGGTGTGTTTCATTTTCCTCCGAGATCCGCCTGTAGGGAGACATGCCCGACCCAACACTGGACATCAGGTGCCCATCGGTCGTTGAAGGTGGGTATTGTTGGATTCCCAGGTGCCAGTCTGCTTTGAGCGCCTTCCCGCTTCAACAATCGAGTGGCTTCACCTTTTCTGTCCTCTGAAGGGGGCGGACGGAACCCAATCTACATTCAACGCCTTCCTACTTCATGTTCCTACCTGCTTCTTCCGACCGATGGGTGCGCTCGGACCGTGGCATAAGATCTGTAGGTCGGCTCGGGGAGGGTGCTCTAATGTTGTTCGTGGTTGCTGGATGCTCTTGTGTATCCTGGGGGAGGGCGCCCTCGAATGTTCTTCAGTTTGGCCGGCGGAGGGCCTCGTGTTCTCGAACGATAGTATTATGTCCCAGGCCCGTCCACATGAGAGTTCGGGCCCCCAGGGGGGCCCACGGATAACCAGATACCCATGATAATCACAGGGTGGGGATGATCAAGTTCGGGGCTGGGGGGGGTGATACGAGTTTCGTCCGAGCAACTCGTGTGCACGATGATCTGTCAGTATAGTATAGCGATGCCCTGGGGGGTGGTAGGCGTTTCTGGGGGGTGGGGGGAGTAGGACCCCCATAGCCCTGCCACACGCTCGTGAGTTAGGAAAGCTGAAATGGGGAGAATCCCAGATCCCTGCCACACGCTCGTGATAGTGTTCTACTCAACATAAGAGGACAGCGACTTCGATTCGTACTTTCCCTGGTGATAATGAAGTTCGGCCTCGCCGCCCCTTTCTTCCCAACTCTGCCTTGGCCCGTGATAATTAACTCTCAGGGGGACAGGGGGGATAGATTTCCTCAATCCGCGCTTGCACTTCAGGGGTCCCAGCGGAAATTGAAGGATTTGGCGAAAGTTCCCCGCCGATTTTGGTGGAAGGCTGGGTTCCCGGGTTCCCGGTTCCGGGTTCCCGGGTTCCCGGGTTCCGGGCCGATTTCGGAGGGCGGCAAGGTTCCCGTGTTCTGGGGTTCCCGGGTCCCTGGTCGATCTTCTTAACGATCGATCTCACCATCGATCTCATTACCGACTTCTCGATCGATCTCTTCATCGATCTCACAATCGATACCCCTATCAATATCACAAGCGATCTCACTAGAGATCGCATGAGCGATCTCGCGATCGATCTCACTATCGCTCTCATTGAATCGATTTCATTATCGGTCTCACGATCGACCTTACAATCGTCCTCACTATCGATTCCACTATCGATCTCATCATCGATCTCACAATCGATCTCAAGATCCATCGTACCAATTTTCAAATCATCCACTGATTGGGTTTCCTCTGGCGTAATGTATTCTTCAGGATTCTCGGTTATCCACACGTCGCCGCGCCGTTGGTCCGCCGCGCGGCCTCCCGGTGCCACTTCCGCCTCGGGTGCGGGGGGTTTGCCGTAGAAGAGCTTGCCGCGGTGCCGGCTTCGTCTGCTTGGGGCGCGGGGCGCAGGGCTCTGCCGTGGGCCTGCTGTGGTGCCGGCGTCTGTCATTACTCAGCCACGCGCAGAGGGGGGTGGGGGGAGGGGGGAGGGCTTCTTAGAAGCCTCCCTGCTTCTTAGAAGGCGCGGGCCTTCTCTATAGATGTAAGGCCGGCGCCTTCTAAGAAGCAGCCTCCTTCTAAGAAGCCCTCCCCCCTCCCTCCACCCCCTTGTGAGCGCCGCCAAATTACGGCGCGGCGAGAACAAACGGCGCAGCGACACATCCCCTGCGCTCTGGAGTCCTGGAAGACTGGTTCCCGAAGTGGCGGGGCCGTGCCGCCTTGGCGCAGCAGCGGCGGCCCCGGAGCCCGCCGACGTCGAGCGCGACCTGCGCTCTTGGAGAGCCCGCGACCTCTCGAGATGGAACGATCCACGCGGTGTCAGAGGTCCAGTTGCGCTGCCGCGCGATTACGCCACCGCGCTCGGGCACGCGGGGGGTGGAGGGCTTGGAGGGGGGAGGGTCCAAGGCGCCCCCCTCCCCCAGGCTTCGTACTTGGCGCTGGGGGCCATTTTCTGCCGGAAGGCCACACACGCACGGATTTGGCCATAAACATGAAGGCATCTTGGGCTCGATGCGTCGCGGGGCCCTACTCCTTCGCTTAGCAAGAAGCTCCCGGCCTCCCGCCCCGGATCGGAGCGACAGGCTATCCGCTTGAAGGGCGTAGCCTGTCGGCGGGGCCGCCGCTAAGCAAAAGACTGTACGGATGCCATCGCTCTGTACCTGTGTTGCGTGGGCGAGGGACCCCAGGGCATGCAGGCAACTCTATAAAAGAAACTGAGGGCAGAACAGCGCCCATCGCTCGGGCCACCGCTCTAGCCTTGCCGATCAGAGCCTCCGAGGTGTCCCAGGTTCCAGGTTCTTCCTGAGTGTGCATCTGCAGCGCTCCTTGACTGTCCTAGCACACTGGCTCGCCAAATTCTCCTCCTCCGAAGGAAGCTGGTCGATAGCCTCCAGGCTTCGATGCGCAGGTATGAGGAGCAGGAGGAGAAGGAGGAGGAGGAGGAGGGAGGAGGGAGGAGGGAGGAGTTGAGGGAGGAGTTGAAGGAGGAGTTGAGGGAGGAGTTGAAGGAGGAGTTGGAGGAGTTGAAGGAGAAGGAGGAGGAGGAGGAGGAGGAGGAGGAGGAGGTCTGGATGTGGTCGTGGAGCCTCCTGCCCGCCCCTCGTCGGCCGGAGGCGCCAAGCTCCCGATCGGGGCGGGCGGCGCGCCCTTCCGCGGCGCGGTGGCGCTGCAGCGCCACCCCGCCGGCGAGGCGGGCGGGCTGCGCGCGGCGGTGGTTTTCCCCGGCGACTCCTCGGTGACGTCGCCCGTGGGTCGAGGAACAGAAGCAGCGGTGCAGAGAGGAAGAGGTACCGATACCGCTACCCTTCCCTCGTGTTTTTCAATTTTTGTGGGGCCTCCTGGGAGCCCCTCGTGGCCACCGCTGGCGTCGCCTCGAAGTCCTGGCCAGAAGCACCCCAGGAGAGGTCCGAGGAGCAACGGCACAGGTATCGGTTTTCCCGCGCCCATGGATCAATGAAGAGAAGCAGGGGTGAATCGATCGGGAGCGGCCAAGATGGGGGTGATGACTAGAGGGGTGGATCTGATGGCGGGGGGCGTGATATTCCCCCGATCTCATGGCCCCTTCGTCTTTCAGTGCGGTCCTTAGGCGCCGCAATCGGCCGCGCACATGCCTCGGTCCATGATTTGCGAAACCCCTCTTGGACACCCCCCTATTGGACGTCCCCGACCGGAAGAGAAAGCCTCCGGATCGGGGAAGAGGAAGCCTCGTAGTCCTTCCCTACCACCATCAAGGGCGGGAGCTTTTGAAGAGCGTGTCTCAGCCAAGCGCAGAGTGGGGTTGGGGGAGGGGGGAGGGCTTCTTAGGAGCACCCCTGCTTCTTGGAAGGCGCGGGCCTCATCTGTAGATGTAAGGCCGGCGCCTTCTAAGAAGCAGCCTCCTTCTCAGAAGCCCTCCCCGCTCCCTCCACCCCCTTTATGCGCGCCGCCAGAGTCGAGCCTTATGGGAAACGCTATCAGGGAAAAACCGCCCTGGCCAGCCCTGGCGGTGCCCCCAGGCCGCTCCCGAGGCTTCCCGGACGGCTCTACCGGGGCTTCCCGGGGGCCCCCTGCAGCCAAGGGGTCCTTCGGCGCGCGCTCGCGACCACCACGAGTGAGCCTGGTTTGCGAGGGTCCGGCGACACCCCTCGGGGGCGGAAAAGAGGGGGGGTGATGACTAGGGGGGGGGGGATATCATGGCGCGGGCCATGCTATTTCCCCAGATCTCATGGCGCCTCCTCGTGTTTCATTACGTCCCTGGCCCCCCCGCTGGGCCGCGCACGTGCCGCTGGTCATGATGTACTCCCGAACCCCGGGTTCCGTTGCCCGCCCACCGCCGCCCCCCCCCTCCACCCCCGGATGACCTGACCACGTCGGCTGCGCAGGATCGAAGAGGGCGCGCAGTACTTCACCGCCCACCCCAAACCACCCCAATCCAACCCGAAGGCCCCAATTTTGCCGTCCATTTCCAGTTGGGGGCGTTCGGAGAACATTGAACACACACACACACACACACACACACACACACACACACGCACACACACACACAAACACACACACATACACACACACACACACACACACACACACACACGGAACCCGTACCCCCCCCCCCAACCCGAAATTCGGGTTTTCGGCTCGGGCTGGGGTGGTCTGGTAGGCAGTCAGTACTGGTGCGCGCAGGCATCCGCCGGGCTGCCCAGAGCGAAGGGTCAGGTTCTCGGCCGTAACCTCCCTCCCCCGCCCCCTCCAGCGGATAACTCGGGGGACCGCCGAGGAATCGGAAGAGCCAGCTCCGCCGTGCACGAGACACAGACCCGTACCCGCGGCCTCGCGGGCCAGGGCCCCCGGGCCGCGACCCCACGGACACGGGGGGGCGCTGCTGCGCGGATGCCCCCCCCGCGCGGCGCGCACCTCCGTGCGACCGCGCCTCCGTGGCCTCGCGCCCCGGCGTGCCCAGGCCGCGAGGGGCGCGGGCAGGGATCCGACCAGACGCAAGAGTGACCTTTCGCCGGAGTGACCTTTGGTGCGGGCACAGCTGGGTCCCCAGATGGCCGAAAACGAGGCAGGAGTAACGGCCTGCGCGCCCAGGTTTGGTCTTTACGCGGCCCCCCAGAAGCCGCGCACCACAGGTCCTTCTTACCTATAGGGTCACTCTTGCGTGCAGCCGAGGGATGACCCCCTGGCGCCGCTCGGTGGCAGCTCGCGGCGGCGGCGGCCTTCCCCGGCGACCCCGATCGGCGGCGGGTCACTCTTGCGTGTAGCCGAGGGATGACCCCCTGGCGCCGCTCGGTGGCAGCTCGCGGCGGCGGCGGCCTTCCCCGGCGACCCCGATCGGCGGCGGGTCACTCTTGCGTGCAGCCGAGGGATGACCCCCTGGCGCCGCTCGGTGGCAGCTCGCGGCGGCGGCGGCCTTCCCCGGCGGCCCCGATCGGCGGCGTCGCCCGCGGACCGAGGGAGAGGCGCCGGGCTCTCCGAGCGGCCGGCAGGGGCTCGAGGTATGACCCGAAGGCCGCTTCGTGGCAACACCTAAGACTTTCAGGTCGTTGCTCGCCCTGCCTGGGCCGCCAGGGATCGGGTAGGGGGGGTTTGGGAAAGGGGGGGTACGAAATCTGCTGCATGCAGCTGGTTTCGGCCCCACCGAGGGGCCCATTCCTCGATACGTAGCCGCCTCCGGCGCCGGGAGGCGCCGGGAAGTCAGCTAAACGTGAGCTGATTCTCAAACCCCCCCTCTGCTATCCCCCCCTTTTGCCCGGCCCGAGGGGAGCTCCTCGTCGCCCTGGCCGGATCCGCCTCGGAATATCCGCGTCCGAACGCACCCGGAAGAGGCCTGGGAGCCGACCTTGGGTCCCCAGGCTCATGCTTTCTCTCCGCCGCGAACAATCGCGACGGACAGCTTTTGGCCCCCCGTTCGAAGCTTTCGGGCGTTGTCGTCGGCACTCGGCGGCTTTCCAGCCGCTGCGCCTCGCGGAGGTCGCTCTGCGGGTCCCGAGCGGCTGGCGGAGGCCCGAGGCATTACCCGAGACACGGATGGCCCTCCGGAGTGACGCGGGTCCCGCAGTGTTTTGTTCCCGTCTTCGTGCTTTGGCTTGGCATCGCTCGGACGTGTGCACTTGCCTCGGCGAGGACCGTCGAGGACTCCCTGGACCACCGAGCAAACAAAAAGCACGCACGAAACCGAAACATGCACGGGCAGTGGACGTCCGAGCGACGGCGAGTTGGGGGCCCTCCGCACGCCCAGTGGCCGTCAGCAAGACTTCTCTGGACGGGGAGCTGGTCCCCGAGGGGATGCCCATACAGGACCCGTGTCCCTGCCCAAGGACCTAATCTTTCAACTTGTTTCATGCGTACGGGGTTCTGACAGTCCCGGCCCTTTCTTTCCCCAGCGCCGGCTCTTCCCCTTGAGCCGCCTCACGATAGGATAACTATCGGCGGTCTGCCATGGGACTCGGCGAGGGCCCCCAGAGGCCGAAAAAAGTGTGAAGACTTCGGGCTCGAGTGTCTCGAGACGTTGGAGGTCTGGGCCAGGGCCCGCTTAGGGGGCCACATGCGAACCCTACCCCTACCCCCCACGATTTTTGAGTGGGAGGGTGTTGTTCACTTCGCTCGGGAGCTCCCGAACGAAGTGAACGCCACCCTCCCCGTCAGAAATCGTGGGGGGTAGGGGTAGGGTTCGCATGTGGCCCCCTACCGTTTGCCTCCTGCCGCAGGTGACGCTCTTCACGCGCGCGGCGCGCGCGGCGTCGCCGTGGCTCCCCGCCGGGGAGGTCCGCGCCCACAAGGTGCCCGCCGCCAGATTTCAGGAGGGAGAAAGCACACACACGCACACACACAGACACAATGAATCGCCGATTCCCCAGAAAATATAGGAAAATACGGGAAGTGTGGGGGGGGGGGGGACAAACACCGAGACTTTATGGGCAAAATATCGGGTACCCTGTTGTGTGTGTATTTTTGGTATGTCCCAGGGCCCCTTCAAGATTGCGTGCACGTATCCACGGCCTTTGGTTTCGTGGTCCCAGCGGGTCACCGATCCAGGCCTCCCAGATGGGGTCGGAGCAGGTGGGGTCGGAGGATCGCGCCGCATCGCCGATGGCTCGGCGCGGTGCGGCTCCACGTGCAGCCCAACCTTCTGCGCGCCGACGGCGCCGAGGCATCGCCGACGTCGGCGGTGCATCGGCGATGCATCGGCGAAGCATCGGTGCTGGGGCGAGATCATCCGAACCCATCTGCTCGGACCTCGAGGGGCGGAGGGCAATATCTTGCCCGCCGCCTGTGGGCGTGCAGCTGTCCATGCCCACCGCCTCGCACCGAGGGGGACACATCTGCACAGACATGCGGTCATGAACTCTATGTCAGCGTGACGCTCCGCCGGTTCTGGCCCACGCTTCGGCGCGACACATCATCCACGTCCCCATATCCAAGCGTCAACGTCCTGAGCTGTTCCCAGCCTCCCGCCCTGCCGAGCGGAACAGCACGCCATTCGCTCGCAGGGCATAGCGTGTCGCAGGGGCCGCCGCTGCGACACGCTAAGCAGAAGTTCCCGACAGTAGACACGTCCGGAGGTCCGCGCGGATTTCTTGGATCGGCGCTGGGTTCTCTTGGCGGCGCCTAGGGCGCCGCCCCTTGTGCGCTCCGCGCGCCAGGGAGGGTGGTGGTAGTCCAGCGCCGATCCGAGAGATCTGCGCGGACCTCCGACAGTTCAGGCTTATACCATCTGCTGTTTTTCCTCTGTGGGCGGGCAGATGGCAGCTACCCACACCCCTCGCCTCCCAGGTCCACGCTTCTCCACAAGAGGTCCCTGGCAGACGGGGTTGGAGGATCGCGCCGCATCGCCGATGCATCGGCGACGCAGCGCGATCTGGAGCTGGATTTTTCCCCGACCTTGCGGAGGGGTTCCAGTTTAGTGTTCCCCTGGGGGAATCTGGGGGGGACCCCCCAGGACGTGGCTCTGGCCACGCGACGAACGCCGGCAGAAGTCCGGCGGAAGACGGCCCCATTTCGGCGGACGCGCGGGCGGCCCCTCGATGATCCGCAAGTTGGTCCAGGAGGGCCACATGCCGCCGACTGAGCGGTCCAGACGGCCCAGGGAGCCCCAATGACGGTCCGGGAAGCCTCTAAGCTCCCCGGGAGAGCCCTAAGAGTCAAAATTCATGACCCCCCAGGTTTTTGAGAGTTGTTCGCGTTCTCGCCCGTTCGGCTTCCTGACGCTCGAAGACAACGCAAGACACCCCAAAGGTCCCCCCCCAAGACGGCCTGAGAGGCCCCCAAGACAGCGCCCAGGCGGTCCCGCATAGCCATTTTGGCTCAAGCCTCTGGCTCCAGCGAGCGCGTTCGGCACCGCGGGCTGCCCCCGGCGCTCGGTGCCCCGCCGGGGGCCCGACCGCCCGCCCGCCATGTGCCTGCGTGCTGCAGGAGGGCGCCGCTGCCCACGGAGAGCGAGCTCGTGGAGACGGCGGCGTCGGACATCGACGAGTTCGGGGCGCGCGCCGCGCGCGCCATCGAAGGGTGGCGCGCCGGCTCGCTCACGACCGCCATATGTCGCAGGACCTGCCGGGCCCGGACCACGAGGAGCGGCGGCGCAGGGCGTGTACGCCCGCTTCCTCGCCGAGGCGGCCAAGAAGAACACCGTGTGTCTGTTGCGGGAGGCCATCGCGGAGGGCGGGGCACTCGGCCTCGGGGAGGACGAGCTCGGCGGCGCGGCCAGCGCCCTCCGGGCCCGCGAGGAGCATCTCGTGTCCCTCGGGGAGATGTACACCTCGAAGGACTCCATCCGGAAGGCTCTCGAGGGCGGTGACCCCGTGCTCCTCAAGGGCAGCTGGCTCGCAGCGCTCGGCAGGTCGGGGGGGAAGCTGCCGCGGCGGCAGGACCTGCCCCCGGAGGCAGTCTGGGACCCGGAGGCCCTGATGCCACGGGTGCACGATTCGGCGTGGTGGAATGATTCTTGTTTTGCAATCCGCGATGGCGTTGGGCTCGTGGGCATCTTGTACTGCTGGGAGGCGCCCGAGCACCCCGATCCGCGGGGCGAGCAGCTGCGCCTCCTGGCCGGCCTGGCGGAGCGCCGCACGGCCCACATGGGGAGGCCACTACAATGACTACAAAGTCGTGGACCTGGCCGTCTTCCTCGACTGGCCCAGCCTGCCCCAGAAAAAGCGTTCCAAGGAGGACCAGGCGCGCTTCGACCGGGGCCTCGGTGCCGTGAACCTCTGGTACGGGCCATGCCCTCGTTGAGGAGTGGTTGCTCACGGCGCCCTTGCCCGGTACCCCGGCCGCCGTGGAGCCGTACTCGGAGCGCGGCTGGCCCTGCTTCGGGCGGGCCCTGGCGGAGCTGATCACACAGTCCCGGTACGTGGCCGACGTCGGCCAGCTGGAGGGGCAGCAGCAGCAGCAGCAGCAGCAGTTGCTGCTGCCCTCGTGTGGTGAGCTGCTGGGGCGCTGCGCGGTCAATAAGCGCTGCCCGCCCCCGAGTCCAGAGGCCTCCGGCGAGCTGCTGCGCACCAAGACGTTCACGAACGCCGCGGATCACGCGCTCGTGGAGCGCAAGTATACGCGCAGACGGCGGAGGAGCTCTTCTTCACGGCCAAGACGCTCAATCTTCAGTTCCGGGACTGGGGCGCCCCGGCGGTGCAGGGGCTGCTGGAGGGCCCCTTGGCGGGCTGCGGCCGCCTGCGGGAGCTCGAGCTCGAAAACAACTCCCTGGGCGATGCCGGCGCCGCCGCAGTGGCGCGGCACCTGCCGGCCCTCGCCAGCGGAGGCCTCGAGACGCTAGACTTGAAATTACCCTGGCGACGTACCCAACCCTTGCGCAACGCGGGGCATGAGTAGCTTGGGAGTCGTTATACGGAGGTGATGACGTGACATGGGCGCATATACTTCTGCGAGCGGCATTCGTGAGGCTCGCAGCCCCTCAAGGATTGCGATGTCCCACTCAGATCTGCCTGGTGCCTCGCTCCGCTGGACCCACCAGCAGCCCTCGAAAGTGGCGACGGCTTCGCAGATCGCAGCCCCCCAGGGACAGCGAGGTCCCGCTCAGGTCCGCGCGGCGCCTCACTCCGCAGGGCCCACCAGCAGCCCTCGAAAGTGGCGACGTCTTCGCAGATCGCAGCCCCCCAAGGACGGCGAGGTTCCGCTCAGGTCCGCGCGGTGCCTCACTCCGCAGGGCCCACCAGCAGCCCTCGACAGTGGCGACAGTTTCGCAGATCGCAGCCCCCCCAGGGACGGCGAGGTCCCACTCAGATCCGCGCGGTGCCTCGCTCGGCAGGACCCACCAGCAGCCCTCGAAAGTGGCGACGGCTTCGCAGATCGCAGCCCCCCAGGGACGGCGAGGTCCCGCTCAGGTCCGCGCGGTGCCTCACTCCGCAGGGCCCGCCAGCAGCCCTCGAAAGTGGCGACAGTTTCGCAGATCGCAGGGACGGCGAGGTCCCGCTCAGGTCAGGACCCACCAGCAGCCCTCGAAAGTGGCGACGGCTTCGCAGATCGCAGCCCTCCAGGGACGGCGAGGTCCCGCTCAGGTCCGCGCGGCGCCTCACTCCGCAGGACCCACCAGCAGCCCTCGAAAGTGGCGACAATTTCGCAGATCGCAGCCCCCCAGGGACGGCGAGGTCCCGCTCAGGTCCGCGCGGTGCCTCACTCCGCAGGGCCCACCAGCAGCCCTCGAAAGTGGCGACAGTTTCGCAGATCGCAGCCCCCCAGGGACGGCGAGGACCAGCAGCCTTCGAAAGTGGCGACGTCTTCGCAGATCGCAGCCCCCCAGGGACGGCGAGGTCTTGTTTGGATACGCGGTGAGTGCCCTCTCTGCTGGCCTCCCCAGCAGCCCTCGAAAGTGGCGACGGCTTCGCAGATCGCAGCCCCCCAGGGACGGCGAGGTCCCGCTTGGATCCGCGGTGAGTGCCCTCTCTGCTGGCCTCCCCAGCAGCCCTCGAAAGTGGCGACAGTTTCACAGATCGCAGCCCCCCAGGGATGGCGAGGTCCTGTTTGGATCCGCGGTGAGTACCCTCTCTGCTGGCCTCCCCAGCAGCCCTCGAAAGTGGCGAGAGTTTCACAGATCGCAGCCCCTGATGGCGAGGTCCTGTTTGGATCCGCGGTGAGTGCCCTCTCTGCTGGCCTCCCCAACAGGCCATGACAGTGGCGACCGTTTCACAGGTCGCAGCCACCCAGGGATGGCGAGGTCTTGTTTGGATCCGCGGTGAGTGCCCTCTCTGCTGGCCTCCCCAGCAGCCCTCGAAAGTGGCGACAGTTTCACAGATCGCAGCCCCCCAGGGATGACGAGGTCCCGTTTGGATCCGCGGTGAGTGCCCTCTCTGCTGGCCTCCCCAGCAGCCCTCGAAAGTGGCGACAGTTTCACAGATCGCAGCCCCCCAGAGATGGCAAGGTCCACTTTAGATCTGCTGGCTTCGCCAGCAGCCCTCGAAAGTGGCGGCAGTTTCACAGATCGCAGCCCCCCAGGGATGGCGAGGTCCTGTTTGGATCCGCGGTGAGTGCCCTCTCTGCTGGCCTCCCCAACAGCCAATGAAAATGGCTACAATTTCACAGATCGCAGCCCCCCAGGGATGGCGATGTCCCGTTTGGATCCGCGGTGAGTGCCCTCTCTGCTGGCCTCCCCGGCAGCCTTCGAAAGTGGCGACAGTTTCACAGATCGCAGCCCCCCAGGGACGGCGAGGTCCCGTTTGGATCCGCGGTGAGTGCCCTCTCTGCTGGCCTCCCCAGCAGCCCTCGAAAGTGGCGAGAGTTTCGCAGATCGCAGCCCCCCAGGGACGGCGAGGTCCCGTTTGGATCCGCGGTGAGTGCCCTCTCTGCTGGCCTCCCCAGCAGCCCTCGAAAATGGCGACGTTTTCGCAGCAGCCCCCCAGGGAGGGAGAGGTCTCGCTCAAATCTGCGCGGTGCCTCAAGCCACACGGCGAGAGGAGACAAGAGGGAGGCGGGAGGCGGGAGGCGGGAGAAGGACGCGACCACGGTGCTCCATTCGCAACGAATCCCCAACCAAGGAGGGCTGGGAAGAAGCAGGGCTTGGCGACGCGGGGGCCGAGAGCCCGGGGGCCGCCTGGGCGGGCTGCGGCCGCCTGCGGGCGCTCAGGCTCACTCTTGCCTGGAACCCCCTGGGCGATGCCGGCGCCGCCGCAGTGGCGCGGCACCTGCCGGCCCTCGCCAGCGGAGGCCTCGAGACGCTAGACTTGAAATGACCCTGGCGACGTGCCCAGCCCCTGGGCAGTGCGGGGCATGAGTAGCTTGGGAGTCGTGATGCGGAGGTGGTGACGTGACATGGGCGCATCTACTTCTGCGAGCGGCATTCGGCGACGCGGGGGCCGGGAGCCTGGGGGCCGCGCTCCCCGCGAGCCGCGCGCCGAAAGGTCTGGATCTGCCACGCTCCAGGATCGCGGCGGCAGGCAGGGCCCGGCTCGAGGCGGCACGGAAGGCGGCGGGGCAGATTCACAGCTCCTGGAGAGGCCACTGCCTGCCAGTTTGAACGCCGCGCCCGCGGCAGCGGCCCGCGCTGGAGGGGGGCCAGCCTGGGCGTGGCGGTCTGGCCGCGAGCTGCAAGCCAAAGAGGGCGGCGGCTGCCAAAGGCAGCAGGACTGGATAGTTAGCCCCCTTTCCCATGTTTGTGCTGCGTGTTATGCTTGTACGGCACGGACTCTTACTGGTAAACTGGTACAAAAAAGACAGCGCCCAGGCGGTCCAAGACGCCCTCCAGGCAGGCCCAGAGCCTTCCAAGACGGCCCTAGAAGGCCCCAGGAACGCCCCAAGAGAGCCCCCAGAGAGGAGGCAAGGTTCGAGAAATCGGGCTCCCCGCCCGAAGAGACCCCAGGAGGCCTCAGGCCTCCAAAAGGCCTCCAAGAGGCCCCGAGAGGCCTCGAAGAGGCCTCCAGGAAACCCCCAGAAGCCTCCAAGACGACCCCAAGACCCCCCCAGAGAGCCCCACGATGGCTGCTGACGCCCCGACAAAGCGTCAGAGCCCCACAAGGACAGCACGGGAACCAACGTCACGCGCTCTATGGGCATCCTCTTCGTTGCTGCTCTCTTGCTCGAAAGTCACGTCCACTTGTCCTCCAAGATGTCTCCCAAGAGACCCCCAAGAGTCCAAACTCATTGATTCCCTTTGGTTATGCTCAGTTCTTCTCCGGTTTCGGCTTTCCGGCTTCTTAACGCTCGAAGACGGCCCGAGCAACCCCACATAGTCCTGCGTAACACGGACATCATTGGAATCAGCATTATGCGCTCCACAGGCATCCTCTTCTCTGCTTTTCTCTTCCTCGCACGTCACGCTCACCTGTCCTCCGAAGTCGGGGTTCGTGGCAACATCGTTCGCGATTCTCCCACCCCACCCAATCCATGGCCACGCCCGGGCGGCCTCCCCATATTTGGACGAACTGCTTGTTCACCGACCCCTGGCATCGCTCGGACGTGTGCGTTTTTTCCTCGGCGAGGACCATCGAGGAGCATCCTTGACCACTTGCCGAAAAAAACACGCACGAAACCGAAAAAAAAGGGAATGGACATCCGAGCGATGGCGAGGACCTTGCAGAGGGGTTCCCATTGTGTGTCCCCCTGAGGGGAGTTTGGGCCGGGCGAGGCTAGGACAAGGGAAAATATCTTGCAGCGCATTCTGGATTGCTCTCAGAGCGTTCTGCAACGCTCTGAGAAGGCCGCGGCGCTCGAGACACATCCTCCAGAGCCGCGGGATCTCAGAGATTCTCGATTTGTCCTCGTCCCGGCTTCGTCTTCGATTGATTTTTCCCTGACCGTGCGGCGGGGTTCCCGTTGTGTGTCCCCCTGAGGAGGCTCTCTGGGGTACCCGTCGAAATCTGGCCCCAGCCACAGGCAGGGGAACGACAGAAGGCCACAATTTGCAGTTGCGGCTTCGGTCGCGCCAAGATGGCCCCAAGACGGCCCAAAATGTCTTTCAGACAGCCCAAGAGGCCTCTTGGACGCCATAAGAGGGCTCCAAGAGGACCTCCAGGAGGCCAATATCATTAAATTCTCATTGGTCTTCAATGATTTCAGTTTCTTGCTTTTTCGGGCATCCGACGCTCCAGCTCGGGCCCATCGGTCTCAAAGATCACCCCAAGACGGCCCACGAGGCTACCAAGAGACCCGCAAGACGGCCCAAGAGGGCCTGAAGACAGCCCAAGAGGCCCCAAAGACTGCCCCACGACGGCCCCAGATACCTCCAAGGTGGCCTTCAAGCGCCCAAAGAGGAACTCTTGACTGCCCGTAGCCATTTTGGCTCAAGCCATTTGGGCTCAAGCCGCTTCGGAGCGTGAGGTATCTCTGCTCGGGGAGCCCGCAAGGCGGACTTCGTCTAGCTCCGCGCAGGCGGCCGCCCTCACAGTGTCGGTGTTTCGAAGATGGACGGGGAGGCGCCCGACGGCCTCCGCGAGGCGCCCGTAGACGGGATCTTGCAGGGAGTGCCTGTCAATCTGGTGCAGCCAGCGGCGCAATTAGCGGCGGTAATATGCATAGTTTCGTTGTTGGGGGATTACATGTTGAAGCTTCGCGCAGGCTCTGCGTCGTGTGGATGCCTGAAAACTTTGAAGGAGATTCTAGGAACGCTCAGACAAGTTATCAATTCAGGCTCTGGTCCAAACCATGAGCTAACATCGAAGCGAGCGAGGAGCAAGCGCGTGGCTGTAGGCCTTATCCTCTGCCGATATACCAAGTGGGGCCTGTTGATCATCCCTTTTGGCACCGTTGAGGCCGATGGGATTTTCTTCTTGCTGCGTTACACAGCTTTCTTCATACACGCAACTTTCGTGTCAATTGCTCCCAGTCGACACACGCATCGAGTACAGCATGCAGCATACTTGTTTTTCATGGCATCGTACAGTTTGGGGCTGTCGCCGCTAGTGATTTCTTTTGGTGGGCCTGAGTCCAACCCCGAATGGTATATACGGCGGGCGCTGTATGCATCGGGGATGTTTACTCTATACGACATTAGCTTACTCATCAACATCGTGGGGAATTGTAGTGTGTGGGGCTCCTTATTTGTGACGGCACTTGTTCACGGCGGCGATGGAACGTGCAACGGCGAAGATGTTCTGGGAACTATCGTGGCATGTTGGCTTGGTATCATCGCGTGGACTGTTCTGTGTAACGTAGTGTTCATTGAGGGGGTGATTCGCGATGTGCAGATTCTGACGGTCCAGAGAGAGCTGAAGGCGGCCGATTCAGTTCTCCAAGGCACTTGTGATGCTGTGGTCGTATTGGACCAGGGGCTTAAGGTCATTCAGGGCGCAGAATCCGTGGCGAACATGCTGATGATGTCCCCACCAAAGATCCAGGGCGAGAGCGTTTTGCCCCTGATCGCCACCGAAGAGGAACGCGGAAGATTTGAGGAGATGGTGCGTGGCGCCCCATCCGGCGCGGACCCAGGTCCGTGCACGGCTTTCAATACCTCCCTGAAGGACAGGGCTGCCATCTCGTGCGCTGTCGAGGCGCTGTGCGTGAAGTAGTTGCAGGCCGACGGCGGGGGTGAGTCGTTCTTGCTCGGTTCCTCGGGAAGCGGACCTGCCTGCAGTCCCTCGCCTGGCAAATTTCTCAAGCTCCGTCCCGCGGAGCAGACGTTCTCGGCCCCCGCCGCCACCCGCCGAGCAGTTGGTTGAGCATCCGCAGGCCATGAGATCTGCCCGAAGCGTGGACGATCTGGCTGCCCAGGACGACAGCTCGGATGGAGCCAGCTCGTCCACGGGGCAGAGCAGCGACAGCGACGACGCATGCACTCCAACAGGATGTCGGCCACCTGCCCTGTGGTTTGATCCCAGTTCGCCTGAGTTTGAGCTGGTCGAGAGCAGCGCCGAGTTCAGGATGCTTCCCGGCTTCACCGAGGAGGAGATGACAAACCTGGGAGGTGTTCTGACGTGGGTGCGCAATGAGCAGAGGGAAGCTTTCGCAACTTGGGTGCGCAACTTCGCCGACGGCACCCAGAATCAGGAGAGTCAACGTTCCGACGCTCGTGCAGGAGTCAAATTGTGTATCGCGAGCGAGAAGCACAAGGCCCAGTTTCAGGCGGAGGTGCACTTGGAGACGTGCTGGTCAAAGGCCATTCCCATGACCCTCAAGCTCGTGGTCCATGGCTTCCGAGCCCGGCCGAAGAATACTAATAAGGGTAGGAGCAGGAGGACTCGAGAACAACGTGATGATTCTTCTGATGCCGACGAGGCTACACCGCACGAGGGCAAAAGAAGGGTGCGCAGTGAAGACTTTGAGGTTCGCGACTCAGGGCTACATGTGCAGTGCGACGTCGGGAATGGCGAGTCTGATAATGACCCGCTCGTGGTCACGAGGAGCATCAGCCCTGGTCTCCAGCTGCTTCTCGGCTCCGGCGATTCAGGGCAAGATGTGTGCGACTTGTTCGCCCAGACAGAGGTCGACCGACTCGAAACTTGGTTGCACGACGAGTATTTCGCCCGGTTTCAGCGTAATGACGCCTCCTCCGCCACCAGCCACTGGTTTTCCTTAAAAATGCCAGCTCTGGAAACATTAGACGTCCGCATTGAGGTCAATTGTAGGCTCACGTTTCAGCGTGGAGACTTGGGCATGTGCCTGGTGATCCAACGAATGCGATGGTCGCCCATCAAGGGGTTGACAAGGGCCAAGGCGCGTAGAAGGCCAAGGACTGTCGGCACGCCGGCAAGGGTGGATTCGGCGATGCTCGACACGCTGAGTGGACACGTGAGCCTGTGATGGACCTTAGTCATCACACTTCCGTCGGGCACAGCAATTGCTTAGGCGTGTAGGCGTTCAGGACAACTGTGGTGCGACTGAATATTTTGGAACTTCGCAGCAAACCAAAAAAAGGAGGAACTCTTGACTGCCCAGGGAGGGCCCAACCAAGAAGGACTCCGAAGACAAGGAGGCCTCGAAGAGGCCCCCAAGAGGTCCCCAAGAGAGCCCAAAAGGCCAGAGGAGGACTTCCGGGAGGCTGAAGTAATTGATTGCCCCGCGGCGTTTCAAAGGTTTTACCGTTGTGGCCTTTTAGGTCATGCCTTTTAGGTCTTCCGACGCTCCAAGACAGGCCCAACTGCCCCCAGTATCGCCACAAGACGGCTCAAGACGCCCCCAAGGGGCCCGCAAGACGGCCCAAGGCCTCACGACAGCCCAAGAGGCCCCCGAGATGGCCTCAAGACGGCCCCAGAGACCTAGCACCTAGCGGCCAAAGGAGGACCACGACTGCCCAGGGAGGGCCCAAGACGGCCTCCGAAGGTCAAGAGGCCCCCAGGAGGTCCCCAAGAGAGCCTCAAGAGGCTCCAGGAGGACCTCCAGGAGGCTGAAATCATTGCGCTCACTTTTGTGTTTCAGTGTTGGTCTCACCTTTCCGGCCTTCCGACGCTCCAAGACGGGCCCACCGGCCCCCAAGATCGCCCTAAGACGGCCCGAGAGGCCCCCACGAGGCACGCAAGACGGTCCAAGACAGCCCAAGAGGCCCCCTACGACGGCCCCAGAGACCTCAAAGACGGCCCTCAAGCGAGCCCAGGATGGCCTCCGAAGTCGAGGAGGGCCCATAGAGGCACCCAGGAGGCCCCTAAGAGGTCCCCAAGAAGTCCCAGGAATGCGGTCGGACCGAGGTATATGATCGAGGTCGGTTCGGGGAGGGTGCACCCTAGTCTTCTTCGTGCTTGTTGGATGTTTTTGTGCACCCTGGGGAAGGGTACCTCGAATGGTCTTCGGTTTGGCCGGCGGAGGGTCTCATGTTCTTGAAGGATGTTCTTCTGTCGTAGGTCCAGCCGTACCCCAGGAGGCTGGAGGAGACCCCCAAGAGGCTCTTTAAACCTCCAGAAAGTTCCCCAGGAGGCCTCCTCCTCCTCGCTTTCCTTCTCTTCCCTCTCCCCCTTTCTCTTCCTCTCTCCAGCGTTCCCCCACACAACGGCTAGGGGAACACATAGTCCAATAGCTTGGACAGACTTCGGCCCAACGTTTGGTCACGCGGGCTTGTCCCCAAGGCAGGGGGCGGCGGTGATTCGCCGCAAGCACCGTAGATTCACCAATCCTGAGGACCCAGGACAGAGGACTACAGTGGGGGCGCGCATCAAGAAACCATCTGCTTTTCGTCAGGGTATCCTGGGTTTCTTCGCTCCGCGCGCTGCGCGGTGACTCCTCGCAGCCGTTGAAGAAGCTGCTGCGTTCAGGGTGCTCCCGGTTTCCCGTCAGGCGCACCTCGCGCGCGGGTTTTCAGGGTTGGGTTTCTTGCGAGGGTTTCTTGCGGCCGCGCTCGCACTGTATTACAGGGGACCTGAGAACACTCCAACTCGTGCCTCGCAGCACGGTGGCCGAGGAGACGCCCTGCCTGACTCCGCCTCCTGCCTCTTTCTGTGCCGTAAGTCCCGCCCGCCTGCGATCTGAGGTCGGGGTTCGTGTCTCCATCAGGTTCGGATCCAAGCCCCCGGGGGGGAGTGTCGCGTCCCGCAGCAATATTTCGGGGGCGGCAGAGAGGGGGATGATGACTAGGGGGGGTGGATATCATGGCGTGGGCCATGATATTTCCCAAGATTTCATGGCGCCCCTTCTCGTTTCATTACGTCCCTGGCCCCCCCGCTGGGCCGCGCACATGCCGCCGGTCCTGATATGCACCCCCCCCTCTTGGACACCCCTCTTGGCCGCTCCCGAATATTTGGCTGCCCTGTAGCCCGAAGTTGGCCCCTTAGGCCGGCCCTCGGGGGTCCCATGCGGCATTCCAGGAAAGGCCCTCGCCTTCGAGGCCCAACTGCGTTGGCGTTTCTGCCTCGGCGGAGGGTCCGCCTGGAAGGCGGCGGAGTAGGACGGGGCCGCCTCCGCTGGCGGAAGGCCTGGGGAAGGCGGCGGCAGCAAGACATCTGAGCGACGGACAAAAACAACGGGGTCAACTGCGCCGGCATTGGCGCGTAAGCTCCCCGCGTAAGTTCGCGGCGTAAGCGCTCTTGATTCCAGAGTAGCGTGCCTCGCTGACGGCACGCGCAAGCCGCCGTGTTAGGTCGCTGCGTCATCTCGCGTAAGAACCGCTGTCGATCGTCGCTCATTCGTTTTCCAAGAGATGGCCACTTTTTTGCGGGGGCAGGGTTTCGGGAATCCGCCAGACGCAGGTACAGCATGGTACAGCCTCCTGGACTGACACGGCCCATCCGCCCTGAGCCCTTGCCCCCTGCCCGCAACGGCCCCCGCGGCAGGGCCCTAGCAACTGCGGCTGTGGATGTTTGTCCATCGGAGCTTCGCGGCTGCTCTCCATCCCCTCCCTCAAAACACACATAAGAGACAACTGTTCAGAGACCCGAGTCATCAGGGGTAACTCGGGCCAGGGCTAACTCGGGTTCGTTTCTCGGGGATCCGCACCCGAGTTGCCCCGGGCCCGAGCTACCCCGGATAACTCGGGCGTCCAGAGCCCCAAATCATCAGGGATGATTCGGGTCAGGGCTGACTCGGGTTCGTTTTTCGGGAATCCAGACCCGAGTTGCCCCGGGCCCGAGCTACCCCGGATACAGGCCTCGGAACAGATTAGCGAACACATGCCGCATTCATCCGTCAACGCCTCCCCCTCCCCCCAATGTTCAAAGTTGGTGGTGGGTCTGATGAGATGCGCATCGACCGCAGTCTCCCCCGCGCGTGCCAACATTGAGTTTGGGGGGGAGGGGGAGTGTTCAGTAATTGTTTCCCTCTACCGTAACTCGGGCGCCCAAATCGTGGCTGTGGATGCCCCCCGATCGGCGCAGAAGGTGCCCGTCTCGGCCTCCTTCGCCGCCGGCAACACCCTGCTGCTGACCTCCGCCGACGGCGCCGTGACCCGCATGAACATGCACGATGGCAGCATGGTGCACGGGGAGGCCCCCCGCAAATTTGGGGAGGAGGAGGAGGAGGAGGAGGAGGAGGAGGAGGAGGAGGAGGAGGAGGAGGGCCTCGGATCGGGGGAGCTCGGGGGCTGTCGGGCGTCTTCGGGCGTCTGCGGCGGCTCTCGTCGGCTTCCCGGCCTCCATGGGTGCGTTTTCCGGCAGCGGCGCCCCGATCGGGAGCCGTCCGGGAGCGCCCGGATCGCCCCGGACGGCCGCCATGAGGCCCGAGGTGTGGCCCCGCAAACCGTCGAACGTCGGTATGCATGCCCGAGTGATGACCAGGAGACCGCTGCTCGCTGCTCGCTGCTCCACCTCCGGTGTTGATGCATCCTCTGCCTCCTCCTCCTCTTCATCCTCCTCCACCTCCCTTCGCTGGCCTGCTTCCTCGTACCCTCCCCATTGCTTCCGCCTCCTCCCCCTCCCGCCCCCTGCTCGTGCTCGCCTCCTCCTCCTCCTGCTCCTTTTCGACGTTGGGCAGACATGAGCTGTACAGCTGTTGTGTTCATGTGAGGGACAAGTGCAACGCAAAGAACCGACTGAGGCGCTATGGCCCACAAGTTGAACTCAGGTGAGCTCAGCAGAAGGCAGATGTGCGACAGGAGGAACGTAACAGAAAGGTAAGTCCGCGAGGGTACAACGCTCACCTGGTCGGGAAGGGGGTAATGGAGGACGTACTGTTTTGAACATGTAAGTAAAGAGTGTGACATAACACGAGGAGTACACCGAACGGGGAGGGAGGCCCTGAAACACGTTTGCATGCTGGCGGCAGCTTACTAGCAAGTGATCATTCGCTGGATGGTCTCCATCGTCGTGGTTGGTGCTGGGGCAGTGGGAAATGCAGGTTGCAGTCAAAGTAGAGAGCTGGTCTCTCGCGGGATGGTCTCCACCATCGAAGTCTGCGTAAGTTCACAGAGGTACTGGGGCTGCAGAACTGGGCCGGCACAAGGTGCTGCGTGCCATCAGGATCTGTAGCATGCAGAGGGTAGGGCCGGCAATAGTACTGCACTGCGGCCCACAGCAGGGCGGATGCCCCTCTGCCGAAGCACCAAGATCGCATCTTGTGCTGGCTGCCTGGCTGGGTGCGGCACGCGGGGGAGTGGAACGGGGTGAGGTGCGAATGAAGAAGGGCGGCATACCTGGTACTGGGGGACGCTCCCAAGCAACGCGCTCGAAGCATCTCCGGGCCAGGCAGATCGGAACATAGGTGGGCGATGCTGGTATGCAATGTTGTAGGCGGGTGAAGGACAAGCTCAATTGTAGAAGAGAGCGCCCTCCGCCTCATCGTCGCATCTTCCTCCCTCGTGTGCCCACCCCCCCTCGCCTCCTCCCCCTCCTGTGCTCCGTGTGTGCGCACCGTGTTCGGAGTAATTTGCCGCGTCGATCTAGCGTGACATGTTTTTTGTTTTGTTTGCCACCGACAAGTTGGGGCTGCTGGGTTCCGTGGAAGGAGATCTCGTCCCGTCCCGCCCTATGACATTGACGCGCACACGCACAAACACACACACACAACACACACATAACACACACACACGCACGCGCACACGCACACGCACGCACACACACACACAGACAACACACACACACAACACACGCACACGCACACACGCACACGCACACGCACACACAGACACGCACACACACACACAACACACACGCACGCACACATAACACACACACACAACACACACGCACACACATAACACACACACGCACACGCACACGCACACACACGCACGCATACACACACGCACGCACACCAGTAGCATGAGCCAGTGCTACCAGAACAGTCACCCAGAACAGACACGGCGACCACACGTCAAAAACATACAGCGATCACGTGCGACTAGCCCGTCGACGGTTCGGTCGTCGCTGGACACGGGCCCCGACGAGCTAGCACGCGAGCCAGGAGCGGCGCCGGAGGCGCCGTGGAGAGGCACGGATTCACCCCAGACGAGCTTTAAGCCATGCTCCAGGAGAGGAAGGGCAAAGGCAAGGGCGCCGACATGTACTCGGACATGGGCGAGGACAAAAGGCAAGAAGAAGGACAGGGAAAGTGAAGTCAAAGACACGGGCAAGAACAGGACGGCCAGGGGCCAGGACACAGGCAAGGGCAGTGGCAAGGACAAGGACACCAGCAAGGAGAAAGAGCCTTGCGTTTCTTACCCAGCTCTCGCCGCAGCCGGAGCTCGAGGGCGCGCTCGCGGGCTTCCAGGTAAACAGGTGGGCGGCGTTGAAGGCGCGGTTCGAGGATGAGGGTGCCCCGTGCATGCGAGCGAACGGGGGAGGTCGGCGTTGTTTTGAGGCACACGTGCGACCGCTTCAGCTGCTGGTTCCCGAATTTCGTGGAGGTGGCCCTGCGTCCACCCAGGCCGGTGGCACCGCCGGGCTTCAACTCGTGCGCGCCTGCTGCAGCAGAGCAGGAGCTGCGTCGAAGCGCCGGCCCGAGGAGCACCGGTCAGCATGAGTCCCGGGGGTGATGTCGATAACATTGCCTTGGGATTGCGCTGGCCTCACGGGGGAATCGGATGAGGGGTCTCGCTTGACGAAGCTCGCGGCACGCAATCTGTTTGATCTTGCACGTGTGCAAAGTAACATCAGTTGGACAGATATCGGCGCCATTCTGGCTGACACCCCGAGAGGCGCAGCGCGGCAATGCATCCGGACGCGTTGACTTGCCCTGATTGCTCATGCGCGCGCGCGCTCGGCTGCTCGCGCGGGGGCGTTGGCGAGATCGATTTGGGGAAGAAGCGCCAGGGTGAGGAAGGGGTGGAGGAGGAGGGATGTCTTCATCGGGCTGGCGCCCTGGGCAAACGAGGGGAGCCGTCTTGTGATTCTGAAGGTTGGCCTGCCTCTGCGCTGTCGGCGCAGGGGCCCGCGCTCGGAGGCAGTTGCGTCTGCCCGGCGCCGCCCGTCCGAGAGCGTGCTCTTTTTTGGTGCGTGCATTTCTTGTGATAAAACAGGGTGTTAGGGCACCCTGGCTGGGAGTGCCGCCTGCCTCGGCAAATCTGCAGCGACGCCGCGCCGGTGCCGTGAAATGGAGCCGAATAAAAACAGCATGCGGCGATCGCGGGCGGCACAGCCGTTCACCAATAACTACCGTGCACCAGAGCAGGGCATCGTGAACACGCTTCAAGAGCATGCGCATCAGGAGTCAATCGCAGACACCAAGAACAGAGAACAGCACGAACGTACGTCAGGGGCAGGCATCAGTACCATACATGGATACTGCGCACCATCAGACATCGATAACGGTCGCCAGTACCCGACATCCAATTCGTTCATCAATAACACCCACTGAGGACATGCGCGAGACAGTGCATACAAAACACATCGATTACGCATTTAGAGACAAGACACACATTCGCACACCATGTAAGCACCAATAACATATTGCAATCGCACGCATCAGGCACATGCGATAATATGTTGACGCAGTACCAGACACCTGCAACGCACGTACAATCAACACATGCCTTCATAGCACGCACCGTTGACTCACAGCAGCGGCATGATCAGGTGCATACCGCGCGCCCAGAACTGCCGCTGCGAACACGCCCGCTCGCAAACCGATCGTACCGAAAAGGACATGCGCATACAACGCGACACCACTCACGCGAACCAATCACGAATGTGCACACGTAGCGCATGGCACATCATGTGTCAGTGCCACGCGCACATATCAAGAGCAGCAACCTCACACTCGCGATTGTGCAGCCCATCGCGCCGTGATGCCGCACGCGACAAACCTCGGCACCATTGGCAGCAACTCCTTGGCGGGGGCCGCCCGAAGCAGAACTGATGGTTTGTTCTTTCTCGGGGGGGCTCTTCGAGGTCGACCTCCGCCTCCTCGCGCAATCGTGGCCCTCCCCGCCCACATCGCGCGGGCGCGGGCCGCCTGCGACCGCCCCCTGGTCCCTGCGGATATGTAGAACCTAAGAAGACTGCAACACCAGCCGAGTAAGCTCCCAGTCGGATCCCACTGGGGTTCAACGAGGATCCCAATACTTGGCATCGCTCGGACGTGTGCATTCTTCCTTCGGCGAGGACCATCGAGGAGCATCCTTGAGCATTTCGCGAAAAAGCCACGCACGAAACCGAAAAACACACAGGAAATGGACGTCCGAGCGATGGCCAGAATAGGCTTCCCAGGGATCCCAGCATGACTTCCCGGCGTCTCCGCTGGCCGCTCGGGGCGGCTCGGGCGCCCCCCTAGAGCCCTCCTGGCGAAGCGCGGCTGCTGCAAAGAGCCCCTGGTGCTGGAACACCGGCAACGCATAGAAGAACTTCCCAGCACACTCCCTCTTTCCCCTCCTCCTCCCCCGTAGCGCTTTGTGGGAATGATGCCATGCCGAGCGCCAGACCTGGAATCCCCAGTGCCAACAAGCAGCTTCGGAGCGACCTGCAGCTAGGCAATGTGTCCTCTCGGAAGGGCGCACCTTGCGCGTCATCTGGCCATCTCCGCAGTTTTCGCCCCCGCTTCACGAGCGAGCTTCTCCTCCTCCTCCTCGCCCTCCCAGGTGACATAGGCAAAGCCTGCTCACGTAAGATCACACCCACAAGGGCGGAATACCTTGATCAGATTTCCCGAGGCTTGTGGCCTGAGGTTTCAGGTGCAAGCGATGAGCGGATGCATGGCCGTCCTGTGAATCTCGCACGTGTAGGAGCGAACATTTGAGTGAGACTCTGTCTTGTCGTCACGCTCATACGAGCGTCGACCGCAGATGTCTCGACCCATTCCCCGGGACCGGCGTCTCATCCCGAGTGTTTTTTTTGACGGTGCCGAGGCCCGGCAGGATCAGCCACGCGCAGAGGGGGGCGGGGGAAGGGGGGAGGGCTTCTTAGAAGCACCCCTGCTTCTTAGAAACCACGGGCCTTCTCTATAGATGTAAGGCCGGCGCCTTCTAAGAAGCAGCCTCCTTCTAGCACCCCTGCTTCTTAGAAGCCACGGGCCTTCTCTATAGATGTAAGGCCGGCGCCTTCTAAGAAGCAGCCTCCTTCTGAGAAGCCCTCCCCCCTCCCTCCACCCCCCCTGCGCGCGCCGCCAAGAGGAGCCCCCAGAGATTGAAGATCGAGAAAAGCGTCCCGTCGTGATTGGCTCATGACTCCTGGGTCCCCCTCCTCTCGCCTGGCCCGAGGTCCCCAACTTCGGGGGCGGCCACTCCTGGCACGGCGCGTGCGACCACGCGGGCGGGCGCGTCGCCCGGCTCGCCTCGCGCAGCCTCGGCCCCGGCGGCCCCGGGGGGGGGAAGGGTGAGTATCGTTTCACCGACCCCGGCTCTCGGGGGCGGAAAAGAGGGGGGTGATGGCTAGGGGGGGGGGGTGGATATCATGGCGGGGGCCATGATATTCCCCCAGATTTCATGGCGCCTCTGCTTATGTCATTACGTCCCTGGCCCCCCCGCTGGGCCGCGCACATGCCGCCGGTCATGATTTGCACCCCCCCCTCTTGGACACCCCCCTCGTAGCCGCTCCCGAGGATCCCCATCCCCATCCCCATCCAGACCCCGACCATCTCACCCCCCCAGCTGGGGCTATACCCTTCGAAACCCGCAGGGAACGGCCCATGCCCCCATCTAGGGGGGGGCAAATCGGCCAGCGGGGAGCGGGGACCATGCCACGCCGTTGGTGATATGGGGTCGGATAAACGATGCTCGGGGCGGGGGGGGCTCCGAGCAGCGTGGAATGGCGGTTACGTGATCTTGGCCTTCCAGATGGGTCCAAGCATCTGGAGTCGAAGGATCGCTCCGCATCCACGGTGCATCGACGATGCGGCTCGATGTGGAGCCAAGGTTTCTCCACGCTGGTGGCGCCAATGCATCGCCGACGTCGCCGATGCACCGACGATGCATTGGCGATACGGCGCGATCCTCCAACCCCATCTACTCGGATCCCCTCTAGGAGGCCTCTACGCTGGGGGGGATAGGCTCGTGGGTTGGAGCCAGCTGGTGGTCTGCTGAGGTGGCCCAGCACCGGTTCGGGCGAGCAGGTTCTGGGCTCGAGCAGGTTTCTTGGCCGTTTCACCTTCCGGGCCATTGTCGGGCCCCCGGACCGTCAAACACGGATCCGGGATGACATGCTTCGCCCGATGGACCCCCTGGGGGGGCTCCAGGGGCCGACTTGGAGCGGAGTTGCTTTTATCCCCCCTCCTTGGCGGTTCTTGTCGGGGTCCGTCCAAGGCGGACTCCCAGTCGCGTCCAACATCGTGGGGGCGCATCAGCCAGCAATCGCCCACTCATCGCCGCCAGGGGCCCGATGGCACACCCCGCCAGGGTCGCTGGTTCCGGGCCGACGTTCCCCCACCCGAGCCAGTGCCCCTTTTACCGGTGCCCCGCAGCAGGAGGGAGGGGCCCATACTCGGAAACTGGAATATATATATATATATATACACATTACCAGTGGCGGGCTGTTTCTCAATCCTAGGATCTCTTGAGGGTCAGGGACGACGCCGGGGTGGTGTGGTGCACGCTTAGGTTCCCCGCTGCCCCGGGGAAACAACGAAGACTGTACACACCAGGACCCCGTACACACCAGGCTGCGCGTTCCTGTGCGAATGGCAGCGCAGGGTCGTCGGTGTGTATAGAGTTCGCTTCCCTGCGCACCGCCTCGGTCGGGAAAAGCGTCGGTGTGTATTGAGTTCGTTTCCCCGCGCACCGCCTCGCATCGTGGAGAGGTCACGGCGCGAGGTCCCTCGGTCTCTCTTCGGTCTCTGGGGCCGGGCCCCGGGGCCGTGCGAGCGCAACGTGCACCAGAGAGAAGCACCCCAAGCAGGAGGAAAAGAAACACACACGCAGACAAAATGAGTCCTCGATTCCCCAGAAACTATGGGAAACTCTGGGAAGTGGGGGGAAGACAGAAGCCCAGACAATCTGGGATAACATGGGGAACATTTTTGTGTGTGTATCTATTCGTGTGTCCTGGGGCCCCTTCACCCCAGCAGCGCATGCCCCCGGGAAAGCTCCGCGTGCACTCCACGCCTGCCTTCGCCTCGCGGTCTCTCTGCTTCGCTTTCTGTTTCTCTGCCGCGCCCCTCGGAGTCTCTGTTCACGCCATCTGCCCTCGCACCTCGCTCTGCACTCTCGATGGTCCCAGGCCAGCTCTCAACTGAATATTCGCATGCTCCAGTGGCCCAGCTGTGGCCAGCGCAAGTCCGCCGACCCGCAGAGGAGCAACGAAGTCCGCGGGTGAGGCCTTGTGCCTCTTGAGGGGTTCGATTGGGGGGATATGGTATATGTTGGGCCTCTCAGGGGGCCTCTTGGAACCGCTTGGGAGCTGTGAAGCGCCTGCTGGTGGTCTCGTGCGTAGACATATAGTCATATAGTCAGTGCTTGCGTGTGTGTGTGTGTGTGTCTCTCTCTCTCTCTCTCCGTCTCTCTTGTCCTTCTCTCCGTCTCTCTCTCTCTCTTTGTCTGCCCCTCGCTCTCTGCCTCTTTCTCTCCATAACTCTCTTCTGACTCTCTCGATATCTATATACCCAACTTAGCCCCATGCTCTCTGATATGCACTTCGACTGTTTACTCTCTCATTGTGACCTCTCTCTATCCATCTTGCATCCATGTATTTAAACAATGGTTGCATATTCTTTCTCTCTGTCTCTCAAATCCCTCTGGTCAGCTCTGCTCGCAACTATCTGACCCCTTTGTACTCTTGATGATCACAGACCCAGGCGCTTGGCCACAACCGAGACATCCATAACCCTAAATTCTTACACTGCCATGGTCCCAGAAATCGGAACTGGGAACCCGGAAACCCACCAAACCTTCCGCTGCTGGGGACCCTGGAGTCGGAAAACGGGACCCCAGGAACCCAGCCGCCCACCGAACCGGGAATCCAGGAAGCCAGCATTGTCGGGAATCATCATGGAACCGGGAACCCGGGAACCCAGCAGGAACCCCAGAACCAGGAACCTACCGAATTCGGCCTGGAACCCTGAACCAAGAACCTGGGAAGCCAGAATTGGGACTCCCGAAACCCAGCCGCCTACCAAAACCGGCCCGGGTTCTCGCCAAATCTTTCAATATCTCTCGGTGGAAGCACTGCTTGGGGAATGAATCAGGTGCGACCCCAATTAGGGAAAACAATTCCTTTTGCATGGGCGCAGTGCTTGGCATTGATTGGCATTGCTTGGCATTGTGAGGAACCCGAATAACCCATTGCTTGGCATTGCGAGGAACCCGAGGAACCCGGGGAATCTCCGAGGAACGGGCAACGTAGCCTCCCGAGTCATCAATTTTTAACCAAGTAAGAACCCCGTAGGCCGTAGGCAAGCCGAATTGGGGAACAGCTCGGAATGAAGAGCTGGTCCCATGGAAAGGTGCCAGACCTCTGGGGGTCCACGTCAAGGAACAAATTGCGAATCGGGGGAGGGTACGCTAGTGTCCTTCGTGCTTGTTGGATGTTCCTGTGCATCCTGGGGAGGGTTCCATTCGCTGTTCTGTGCGTCTTGGCCAGCGGAGGATCTCATGTTCTCGAAGGATGTCATTTTGTCCTGGGTCCGACTGTACGTGGTTCAGGGGGGGGAGCACGATGGGGACCCAGTCTTCCGACAATCTGTACGTAGCACCCCGCAGTTACGGATATGAGTGAATGGGCGGCGGGGTCGCCGGCAGTCTACGAGGTTCTGAGAAGAGGCCCGCCGCACGCGCGAGTTTTCCACAGTGCGCAGCGAACCCGCCGCAGACGCCGAAGTTTCGTCGAAGCAACATGGGTGGGTCGCGTGTGGGTTCCGAGGGGATTGCGGGGCGTGTCGCGGGGTGGGTCGCGGGGTGGGTCGCGGGCGGGTCGCGGGCGAGGACGACGACAACAACAATCATTTTGCGATTGTTCGCTCTGATCTGCTCGCGTGCCACTGAACATGTGTACACCTAGCCCTCGATACCCGCCCTCTTCGTCTTCGATCGCGCCCACCTCTGGGGTAGATCGTCCTTGCCTACCACGTGTACTCCGCGCAGCCGCTGAAGCGGAAAGAGAGGACGGATGGAAGGAATGGTCAACGGGGAATGGAGAAGGATGGAGCACGAGAAAGATTAGCAGTAGAGGGGCTAGGAGCAGAAACTAAGTGGCAGAAACAAATGGGCACATCGGGCGGGTAGACCCTTACGGGCGGGTCGCGGGAGGTGGGCTCAGGCGGCCAGGTCGAGCAGGCGGTTTGCTGAAGGGTAAGTCCTGCATGAATCGTGAGGAGGTCTCAGGCGATAGCGCGATTCCAAGTCAATTGCGAGAGAGGACAGAACGAGAGCGTGATTCCTAAGTGTCGAGAGCGGGGCAGCGACGGGGCCACGAAGGGCAGCGAGGGGGCCACGAAGGGCTGCAACGGGTCCACGAAGGGCAGCGAAGGGGGCCACGAAGGGCAGCGAAGGGGGGGGGCCACGAAGGGCTGCAACGGGTCCACGAAGGGCAGCGAGATCCCGATTCCTAAGTAAGCTGTGAGGGAGTCCTGAGTGTGAGCGCGACTCCTGGGTGCCTGGGTGTCGGGCGCGCGGCGCTTGAGTAAATTGCGGGGAATTCCAACGCACGAGGGCGATCCTGTAGTAAGTGGCAAGCGAATCTCCAGCGAGAGCGCGACTCCAGAGTGCCGAGAGAGCGATTCCCAAATAAATTACAAGGAAGTCCCAGCCTGTCCCTCTGCACGAGAAATGTTCGAAACTCGTCCGAAAATAGTCTGGGGACGATTCTCCTTTTATATTTTTGGGCTATCTGGGCGTATGTTCTGAATGTGTGCCTCATGTCTCCTCCACTTGAAGCTGTGGGGCCGCGTGCTGAAGATATCACGCCAGTGGGCGTCTGGGGGGGCGGCAGGGGGAGGAGAGCACGATCGGGGACCCCGAACGGTGCGGCGACCACGCCGTGTGGTGAGTCGGTGTGGATTCGGGGCGGCCGCATGTTGTTTGGAGTAGCCGATGCCGTTTTGCATTCGGCCGGCGCCGCGGGGATCACCGGGAATGGGACATTTCTCTCTCGGAATCTTCTGTGTTCTCATTGCCGTGGGACTCGGTGCGCCCCTCGTGATTGGGAGACCCACTTTCTGTGCCTCCTTCTCTCGCATGTTTGCCTGACGGTGTCCACGTGAGCTGTCGCGGCGGGCGGAAGGCGTGCACTGCCGCGGGCATCCTGATGGTGTGTCCGAGACCGGCGCGGCATTTGTTGCTAATCTTAGAGTATGTGTTGAAGTCCAGCCGCTTTCCTCCTGTCGCTGACTCTCTGTTGAAGTTCAGGCTTTGGGGAGACTGGAGCGGCACGAACGCCGAGCAGCGCGGGAACATTGTGTTCACCGATGGCTCGGGCTTTGCGAGCAGCATGCCTGAGCTGAGGCGCTGCGGGTGGTCGCTGGTCCAGCTCGGCTCCAACGGGGTGCCCGCGCGAGCTGCCTACGGGGCCCTCCCTGGCCGCCTACAGACGGTGGGTCGCGCCGAGCGCCACGCGCTCCTGCAGGTCACCAAGCTCCTGGGGCAGCATGCGCGTTTCGTGGCCACTGACCTGCTGGCGCTGGCCCAGGAGGCTAGCAGCTGGGGGCCCGAGCTGGAGCAAGCCAAGGCGGTGCATGCCACGGTGTGGAGGCACCTGCGGCAGCAGCCATGCCGCCCCGACGTGTTCTGGGTCCCCGCGCACCAGGACGTCGATGGGTACCTGGAGGCGGGGCTTCACCCAGTGCTGTACGCGGGCTACCTGTGGGCGGACTGATTCGCCAAGCAGGGGGCCTTGCAGCACACGGTGTCCCAGGTGTTCACGGAGTTCCACGCCATCGAGGTGCAGTACTTCAAGCGGGTGGCGGACTACATCGGATGGGCCATGCAGCGCTGCCTGTCCATCGGGGACTGGGCCCCCGAGGTGCGCTACGTGCCCGCGGTGCCGCCGCCTCCCGTGCCGAAGCTGACGGTGGTGGAGCACTCCCTGGTGCGCGCGCAGGGCAAGCGCGGGATGCTGTGCACCGAATTTGGGCGCCGATCCCGAACTGAGGCAGGAGCGGCGGTGCAGCATCAGGTCGAGCTGTTTGCCGGCGCCGTTGGCTCGCCTCGAGGCGGCGGCAGAGGTGGCGCATTTAGGCGCGGGGCTATATTGGAAGGCCGACGCAGAGGTCCTGGAGGCCGAGGCGGTGCGGCGGAGCGACGGTGGCCTGCCCTGCAAGCTGGCGCAGAGGCCGAACCCTTGGCTGCACGAGGGTGACGGCGGCGGCGTGGTGCTGCATCTCGGGCATCGGCTGCGGCGTGCGGGGCCCACCATCTTCTGCGAGGTCTGCGTCGCGTGGATGCTGACCCGTGCGGCGAGGGGGGCTGCAGAAGGCGTGCTGCAAGCCGCCCACCGACAAAGGGCACCACCAGCGCACCTACGTCAGCAACCTGACGGCCAGGAGGGACAGGTTGCTGCGCGTGCTGGGCCCCAAGACGGGCAGGTCATGGGCGACGGGCGCGCTGGTGCTCGACGAGCGCAGTTCGGTTGACGGCAGCTCCGAGGACGGCGCCGACGAGGCGTTCGTGGCCCAGGGCTCGGAGGAGACCCCGCTGGCGGTCGTGCAGGTGGCGGCGGCAAGCGGGGCTCCCGCAATACCGCGAGGCGGGCGCACGGAGGCCAGCCGCCTGCTCGTGGAGGTCGCGGCGCGTCGCAGCGTTTGCGCGGCACCAGCGCCGTCCTGGCAGGAGCGGCTGGAGGTGCTGCGGCGGCGCGTGGCGAGGCGCGAGGTTGGCCTGGCGTGCGGGGCCGCTGGCAGGGCTGGCCGAGATCCGAAGGCGCATGTCGTGGAGGCCTTAACCGACACGGGGTGCACTGGAGGTGATCGCGCCGAGTCCTGGGCCGTGCGGAGGCAGGCACTGGTAGGGCGGCTCCAAGCACGTGCCGAACTGCTCTGCGGCGGCGCCGCAGCGGCCCCCAGGGCGGCGCCGTCGGGCTTTGCCGCGCGGCATCCGCGTGTCGAGGCATCCGCGTGGCGAGGCCGCCGCCCAGTGCGCCCCTGCCGCAGCGGCCGCCGCGGCCGCTGGCCCTGGCGCGAAGGCTGGATCGCTGGGGGCGGTGGTGGATCGAGCCGTTGCTCACCGTCGACGGAGCGGCCAGCGACTGGCTCGACCACTGCATCCCGTACGCCGAGGCGGTCCTCGCCCAGCCCAGGTGGCGACGCTTCCTCAGGGCGATGGGCAACACGGCTCGTCAGCTGGCGGAGGCGTGGTGCCGCCGCGCTTGGAGCCGTGGGGAGAGGCTGCGCGGTGCATACGCAGGTATCGCTAGGGCCTCACGTCGAGCCGGCGGTACGTCACCGACAGCATGCGGAGGTACGAGGTGTACTGCCTCCGCATCTGGCTGGCGGCGCCTGCGGGCCTGCTGGGCTGGGCTCGGGCTGTGCGCCGCAGGCCGCGGCCTGGGGCGGTGGCGGCGCCTCGCGAGGGCCAGGGCCGCCTCGGCGCGCAGGCGGCGCTGCTGGAGCAGGACGCCGCCCTGGGCCTGGGCGAGGCGCCCAGCGGCGGCGAAGGCAGCGACACGGAAGAGGGCATTGCCCGAGCGCGTCCACGTCGCCGTCCTCGTGCCCGCGCTCGGCCTCCCATTTTGGCGGGGTGGGCGCGGGCTGACGCCAAGCGGCGGCGGCAGCTCGTTGCGCTGGCCGCAGGCCGCATCGCGGGGCTGGACTGGGGCGCTCGTCGTGGTGGCGCCCAGCCAGCAGCTCGACCTCATCTGAGGACCCCCCGCTGTCTGCTCGGTTCGGGCGGACTCGCGAGGCCGCACCCTCCGCACCCTTCTCCTCCTCCTCCTCCTCCTCCTCCTCCTCCTCCTCCTCCTCTTCCTCGTGATTTCTCCTCCTCCTCTTCCTCCTCCTCCTCCTCCTTCCGCCCCTTCCTGACGCCTGCGCATGCCACCTCTCTGGAAGGCCTGGTCGTGCTCGGATCGCTGAGAAGGAAGCGGAACGCGTCTAGCGGGTGGCAATCAAAACTTGCTGGGTCGACGGGGACTAAACAAAATCTCCTCCCGCCCGTTCCTCCCCCCCTACCTCCCCTCTCCCTTCTCCCTTCTCCCTTCTCCTCACCTTCCTCCTTTCCTCTTTCTCCTCACCATCCTTCCCCTCCTGCCCCGTCTTCGTCGCCATCTGCGCTGTCGAGCCCTTCTCTCTGCGGTCCCCCTGCCCGCAGGCGGCGCCGAGCCGGTCCTCTTCCTCGGGTGAGATGTTTCGCCGCTCGGCGGCGCTGGCGCTTATGCCGCCGCCTTTAGGGGCGGTTCTGGTGGACGGGCAGATAAGTCGAGTGTTCAGGAGGGGGACGAGGAGGAGGGGGACGAGGAGGTGGAGGAGGGAGGAGGAGGAGGAGGAAGAAGAACAAGAACAGGAATAATAGGAATACTAATAATAATAATAATGATAATAATAATAATAAGACGAAGAATAACAACAATACGAATAATAATAATAAGACTGATAATACGAATCATGATAATACTAATTCTCATAATACTACTACTACTACTACTACTACTACTACTACTACTACTAATAATACTAGTAGTAATTATAATACGAATACTAATACTAATGCTAATAGTACTAATAACAACAATAATAATAATACTAATTAATTAATTAATTAATTAAGTAATTAATTAATTAATTAATTAATTAATTAATTAGTAATAATGATAATAATAATAATAATAATAATAATAATAATAATAGTGATACTAATAATAATAATAATAATAATAATAATAATATTATTAATACTAATAATAGTAATAATAATACTACTAATAATAATAATAATAAGAGGAGGAGGAGGAGGAGGAGGAGGAGGAGGTGGAGGAGGTGGGGGAAATGGGAGGAAGAGAAGGTAGCGAGACAGCTTCTCGTCCTGTTGAGGCCTCGCCGCCACGGCCCGATTCTGTTTGAAGTTCTCGTCAGACCGCACCCCGCCATTTGTCCAGGAAGGAGCGGCATCGGCACACTGTTGCCCCGCCCCCATTTGGGCGGAGGAGAAAAGAGGAGGAGGAGGGAAAGGAGGAGGGAAAGGAGGAGGAGGAGGAGGAGGAGGAGAAGGAGGAGGAGGAGGAGGAGGAGGAGGAGGGGGAGGGGAGAGAGAGAGACAGAGGAAGAGAGTGAGACAGAAAACACAAAACACAATAATGACAAGAAAACAACATGGGGCAACCGTGGGCGAGGGGAGAACTGTATGCAACTGCGCGACGGCCACGCTGTGGGCAGAGATCGCCCGCTCCGAGGGCGGCGCACACCACGGCCCCCTCGACGGCGGGCGTTCCCCCGCCCACTCGGCACACCCACGGCGGCGTCCTGGGCCGGGGCACCGCCGAAGGAAGGGGGGGGTTCAGGGTGAGCCCCGAGCCTCCCGTGGGCGAAGTTGGTTTAACTCCTTCCTCCGAAGCAGGAAAAACACGCCACGAACAGAAACCTTCGGCGCTCCGCGCTGATTTCTCGGACCGGCGCCTGGGCCCCCCCGGCGGCGCCTCGGGCGCCGCCCCCGGCGCGCTCCGCGCGCCAGGGAGCGGGGTCTGGCGCGGATCTCCAGGAGATCCTCGGAATTCCTGCGCGAGGCGCCCAGCCTGGCCGTCGGACACGTTTGGTGGTGCGACGGGGGGGGATTCTCCATCGAGCAGGAGAGAGTATATGTGAAGGAGGGACAGGGGCAGGGCGAGGGCGGAAGGAGGACGAGGGACGAGGCGGAGGGGCGGGGCCGTGGGAGGGGAGGAGAGCGAGGAGGAGGAGGGGGAGGAGGGAGGAAGGAGAGGGAGGAGGGGGAGGAGGGAGGGAGGAGAGCGAGGAGGAAGAGGGGGAGGAGGGAAGAGAAGAGAGAGGAGGGAGGAGGGAGGGCGAGGGAGGAGACGGGAAAAGGGAGCGGGGTGGGCGGAAGGAACGGGAGGAGGACGGGGGAGGGAAGAAGAGGGAGGAGGGAGGGCAGGAGGGGTGGGAGGAGTGAGGAGAAGGTTGACGACGGCGTGGAAAGCCACGACGACGGCGTCGCATGGGAGATCCCAGGCAGGGTGGTCGACCGGAAGTTTGCTTCTTATTTGCCGCAGGGGGCGTCCTTGCAGCATCGGCGCCCGTGCTGGCCCGTGCGCTCCTCGAGGGCACCCGTTCGAGTGTCCCTCCTCTCCCTTCTCCTTCTTTCCGCTGGCTTCTCCTCCGTCTCCTGTTCGTCCTTATCCTCCTCCCTTCATCTTCTCCTCCTCCTCTTCCTTCTCATCATCATGCACATCATCATGGTCAGCGTCATCATCACCACCGGCATCTCTTCAGCAGCATCATCATCGTCACCCTTCTCTTCCTCCTCCTCCTTCCCGACCTTCCTCTTCTCCTCCTCCTCCTCCAACTATTATTTCTACTACTACTACTACTACTACCACTACTACTACTATTATTATTACTACTACTACTACTACGACTACTACTACTACTACTACTACTACTACTACTACTACT